GTGTACGTGTTTCGATTTACACCACATTTTTTCACAGATTGTAACATGAATTGAACGTTAAAAATTTTAACAAAATCAACATTTAGTATATAAAATACGAGTAACAATCGATGGCCATTTTAAATTATTACGTCATTATACGGTAGCCGTTCTAATAGCCAGCTATTAGTGCATGCTGCATTGATTTTAGTACAGGATGTTCTAATTTTCAAGCACGTTTACGTCTACTATTCTAAATCATAATAATAAAATTTAATACAATACGTATTAAACATACAATCTAAATAAATAAATTTTAAATTATTTATAATAATTATTATAATTAATAATAATTAAATATTTTTAATAATATTTTATATGTATGGCCTTTATATAATTCTCTTCATCCTATATCAACATTTTTTAATAATTTCTGCCCTATTTTTAAAAAATAAACATTTAATCTATAAGTAGAAAGTTTAGATATAAATCATATTAATCTTAAAAAAATTCTAATCTATAAGTTATTAAAAACTTATAATATTTTCAATTCAAAGATATGTGTGAAGTCAATCAACCCTCACGGAGCCAGTATGTTTGACTTTGGCCTTACCTTCCTAACCTTACCCCTAACTTGGGTAGACTACGAGCCTAGGATCAGATATCAGGTGACCGCTTGCTCATTTGTAACCTTATATACCCAGCCTAAAAAATGCATAGCTGACATGATAGTTGCTGACCTTGAATTCGAATAAATATTTAAATAACACTTCATAAGACGACTAATATCACATTTGATATTATATTATAATATTATTGTTCAATATTGTGCATGTTGACGAATGTATTCTATTTATTCTTAACTAACTATCGCCCGCGACTCCATCCGCGCAGAATAAAAAAAAACAATGTATAAGTACCCTATGTGTTCTTCCAGACTATGTTCTACATATGTGCTAAATTTAATCAAAATCAGCTTAGCCATTCGAACAAACATCCATCCACCCATCTAAACATTCGCATTAACAATATTAGTCATATTTAATTCATCTAACAATAAGGATAACTTTTTAGCTCGTCAACATGTAAATTATTTGGAGTACTATTAAAGACAATTAGTCGTTCCTCCATCCTCTTTCGTGATAAGTGGTCCCCGTAACTAATTTCGTATGTACGGGAACCGGACAATGGGTGGCATATTTTCGCATGAAAGTACTCTTGAATGGAAATTTATGTGCATATTACTTGATGCAAATCAAAGCTAAAGGAACGACATCTGTACGTGTAACTGCTGAGACGTAAATGAACATAAATGGCAAATTCAATCCAAAACGTCTTCTTAGCAATTAGCATAGGACCAATGTTATAAGCCTATATCTGAGTAACCATTTTACGATACTATATATTTTCCTATTTCAATTTTTTTATCTTTTTTTTGCAGTGGTAATACCTTATTTTTATACTCTTCTTCGTCCTTTGATGTGTTAAAACATAGCAGTAATATCACGTATAAAAGTCGTAGAATTATTTTTCGCTTACGTAAAAAAGTCATAACGTTTGTTGTATGAAAAGAATTTATTTGTGATACAATTTATACAGAATATAAACTAGGTATAGATACGGCATCAAACCGTTGAGTGGAAAGTTAAATGGTGTGAACGTTACATGAAATACTTGAGTCAATATATTCATCTGTTTTGTCATTAATGTTGCAAACTTGAAGTAGATTATGTTGTTTATATAACCAACCTATTATAAGTTCCTCCCATTTATAACTTGCCTAGCATGCCTTGAATTCATGGATACATTCGATATGATATATGCAGACTTTTTACATCATCATCATCAGCTCACTATACGTCCCCACCGAGGGGATCGGAGCCTACCCTAAGTTAAGGGTGATTAGGCCATACTCAACCACGCTGGCCAAGTGCGGGTTGGTTGACTTCATACATATCTTTGAGACGTGATGCAACCTGCACATATCTGAGATATCACGCATCACGATGTTTTCCTTCACCGTAAGAACGTCGGATAAATGTACATATGTAAATCGGAAATCGAAAAACACATTGGTACATGGCGGGATTCGAACCCAGGACCTGCAGATTGCAAGTCAAGTGCTTGACCACTAAGCCACCGACTCACACTTTTTACAATTTGTCTAAATTACATCTATCTGTGACATTAATAATGATAATTATCTAGTTTAGTCAGATCTTATGTCTGAAATATAAAAGTACGTATTAAGTCGTAGTTCATGCATTTTTAAATAACAACTGGATTAAGTTTCGTATTATAAATATTAAAGTTTACAAACAGCGTAGGTGTGGAATAAACGAACTGGTATACAGTAATGCAATTAATTATCATAACGAGTTCGCGCGACGATGAATCTCGAATACTGATTCAGATTGAAACGGCGCGCGATCAAAAATTAATAACGCGCCAATTTACGAGCCCCGTTTACCAAGTATAACATAAACTTTATTGCTCTTGTTATGGTACACATAACCATTAATATGTGTATTACATACACATATAAGTGACTATACTACTACGTTTGATAATATTTAAAAATCATTATTTTTATATAGATAATATTTTGTATTAACATTTTCAAATCTGTCTCATATCATTCCTTTGTTTTGAATGATTTCTAATCGGCGCAGAGGGGTTAGATTAAGTGCATTCGCTACGATTTCATAATGAACTTCAAAAATGTATAGAACTTACAATTATTTTTCAATAAATCACGCGATTTTCGCGCGTCTGTTCCATATAATTTTGAAGTTCGCTATGGAATCGCTTCGAAGCGAATGCGTTTTGTGTAACTCCTCAATTAATTTTAGGATCAATTCTTTTAACGCTAAATTCGTGTTTCTTAGCTCATTATACTTTTAATTTATTTACACTGTCAGAAATATTTAAATGAAATATATATTTTTACACAACAACCACAATTTCTAAATTCATTTACATTTATTTTTATTTATTTAATATTTAGGCATATTTATAGGTGTGTTAATACATTTTAGAGGTGCATTTTAAGCTTAGCAATGTCTTTCAAGCGTTATAGTGCATTTAGCGAGTTGAAGGAGTCGGTAAAACCTTCTCAAGGACTCATAGACACCAGCCCGCCATTTTTATCCTCATTGAGAATGCTGTACTTATGTTTAGAGTTTTGTATACTATAAATAGCATACTGCCCTATTTTTGTCTGATTGCTGTATGGAAAGAATAAACTATTATAAAATCCATGCAGTATATTTACAAATTTTGTTTTCCCGCCATTATTTTTTACAATTGTCATTTGTCATTGTTTAGCAACTGTCAGCTGACAACTGTCACATGACTGAAATAAAATAACCTATTGTCTATACGCAGATAAAAACTTTTCCGATTCATTATATCACACGAGCTCACGCGAGACTAAAATAGAATGAAAATAACAATTCCATGTTCGATTACATTTCAAATTAAATGTTTCGTATTCCAACCAGTGTTTTTCGAAATATTGATGGATAAAAGCAACTTTAATGGTATTTGAATTATGAATAAATTGCATTCGAAAACGTTGTTATAGAATTGTGCTTGTGTTTGAGTATAACCAACGTGTAGATGTAAAAATAAGTAATGGATTATCGTACTGGGATCCATAATGTTGACCTAAACAAAACCTTCCTTAACTTACTTATGCTTATTTTCGAAGGCCTAAAATTAGTTAATTGGGGCAAAATTAATTGGTTATGGTTTCAGTAATGTTGCATTTTACCTTATTATTAATGTAACATGAAATTAACTCGCATTTCTTCAGTCGACATAGTTACTTAATATAAAATTTAATAAAGATAAACGAGGGTTGTGTTTAATTTTCAATTGTACAATGGTCGCATATTTCCATAAATATTCATTTTTATAATTTGATTCCATTGTTGTTTCAGCGTGTTGATTTTAATTAATGTATCCTGTGAAAAAAAATGTTCCGATATTTTATTTAGTAGAATTATTAATTATATAAAAATCTTTGAGTCCTAAAACAATCATAAACTACGAGTATTGTTAGCATCATTACTTGAAGAATTTATAGTTGTAAATCCAACCTTGCTAAGTCGAGTCAATAATAACTATAAATAAAACTAAGGATTTCTCGTTCTATTTATAGTATTATAGGAATTAGTTCCTACAACAAATTAGGAGACAAGGTGAACCGCCAGTTGTTGGCCATCTTAAGCGAAATCGGTTAATTTCATTCTATTGATAGTGAATATAAAACCAACACACTTTCTAAATTAAATGTACGCATCCATTGGCCCACACCGAACCCACCGCACGCACTGCCCGCAACTGATTTTAGTTTGTTTTGTTCGATTTTACATAGCGCTGCGTCCCTTTAATCCGTCTGTGCTTTCCGTCCGGCCCAGGCCAATGACCACGTACTCAAATTTTTATTTCCGGCCAGTGTCTGCTATGTCCTTGATAACTTGAACACACAGATAATAAAAGCAGCTTAATTGTGTAATTATTTATTTGCTCTATATTATTAATAAATCAAGTCAAGATAAAAGTGGAATAATCATTTATGGTAGCGGAAGGTCGATTGAGAGAGTCGATGAACAACCTTGGATAAAACTGATAGCACTCAGATGTAAACGCAATACATTGACCTCGTAATGATGATGCAGTAACTTATCGTAATAAACATTGGCTTATATTCTCCAAAAACATGTCTAAAAACGTATTTTTTCATCAGAGACAAGAATATGTTTTTTGTACTTGTATTTGGAGAAAGTCACGGCAATTTTGCCACAGATATTTTTTTTTTCTATAAGGATATATAAACATGCCAGTAATATAATTTGTAAATAATCTTTACAATAATATTTTTAGCCACAACTTCACCTCTAGTTACAATTAATGTACAAGGTACTAATATAAATTTATAACGAATTCCATTTATTCATCAATTATCACAAGCAATGTGCTAAATAAACACCTTTATAAGTAACAATAAACAACTACTTACGCCAGTGTGATCGCAAAACTTCTAACAATGATAACCAATGTGAGTTTTATTTATTGCAAAAATATATTTCTTTTTTTTAATATCTTACTAATATAAATGCGAAAGTTTAGATGGATGGATGTTTGTTTGAAGGTATCTCCGGAACGGCTCAACGGATCGTGCTTAAATTTGGCATAGAACAAAGTCTGGAAGAACATATAGGCTACTTTTAAGTTTTATTTTTTATTCCGCACGGACGAAAGCGCGGGCGACAGCTAGTTTATTATATTGTTGAGACAATTTTAAAATATTATAATTTCGTAACGTTGTTATTAATTAAAATAAAGACTTTTTCAATTTGGAATTCGAATTCAGTTCAATTGTCATTAACAATTAGTTTGGAAATTATTGCATTAATATTTGAAATCATTGTACGCTAATTGACGTAGTGAAAACCTTTAATGATTGTTTAAACTACTTAATACCCTAAGGGTTTACATGCTACAGCTACAATTAGGGTTTCCCTTAGTGACCAATTCAAGAGTTCAGAAGTGAAATAATAAACTATTTTTTATTATTTTTAGGTACGATTCTTTCAATGGTTTACTACAAGCACGATACTTCTTTTAATATTATTACAAATGGCTAATTCAACAAGAAATGAAGTGCAAACTGTGAGAAGTTTAAAAGATAATCCTATAAAGGATATATTGTTCCACGATGATCAAACAGATAACGCTAGAGAAACGCACATCATAATTAAGAGGCAATCAGACAGATGTAAGTATAAAGTTTTTAATATTTACTTATACGAGTATACATCGTTTGATTCGAGTTAATAGATTTCCGATATTTTCAATGATAGGCCTAGGATCCTAGGGCTTTTGGTCTGCCATCTCTTTGGGTTTGAAGTTTAGATTGCATGGCGCATATTCGTATTAAAAGTTTGTAATATGGATTTGGTTTATTATTTTTTATTTTTTCAATACAAATGTTGTAGCAATACAATAAAAGCATCCAGGTAAATGTCCTTTTTACCGTTTACTGATAAACAAGTATTGGTTTCCAAAGTAAAGCAATGAAAAGGGAATAAAGATAAAGTGTATATTTGAATTTGAGGTTTAACTATAATAAATTTAAGCAAAGGCGTCGATAATAAATTCTAAAATCCACTTACCTACCCAACCACTTTAAAATGCTCAAAAGTTCTTTGCATAATCTCAAAGAAATAGAAACGGCAGATAAGAGATTTTTATTATCGTCAAAAAGATGTTAAAGTTTTACTTAATATAGTTAATTCCTCTGCTGTTTTGTAAAGCGTTCATATTGAGTTATCTCTAGTGATTTTCCTACGCTGTGGACATAGCAGTGTGAGTTTACTAATTAAAAGAAACATCAAAAAATCCTCCAATAGAGCACGTAGCTAAAATAAATAGGTAAAGAATAAATTAACACGTGTGTTTTTAATTTTTAGATCGTTACACTCCGCGTCCTGAATCGTTACCTATATTAGTTGGAGGAGGTGGAATTGGAGGATTTGGTAGGGGATTTGGTCCAAGAGGAGCTCCCGGTAGAGGATTTGGTGCCAGATCTGTTGGAGCAAGAGGTTTTGGCGCAAGAGGGTTGGGCGGCCGAGGAATAGGCGGACTCGGAGGAAGAGGCCGAGGATAATAATCCATAATTATTCTGTTTTTAAATCATAGAATGTTTTAATGGTTCCACTTAGATAATATTACAATTATGTATTTAAATATTAAAAATATTTTGTAAACATATCCTTTCATTTCTTCTTAAGTTGATCACTTTGAAAACACAAACAATAAAAATAAGAACACTGTTCTTTTTAACTTAAAAGACTAGAAGTCAACGCTACTTAAAACAAAATTAAGTTACTGTCAATGTCATAGCAAAAGTCAGTTCAACTTGACAATCTGTCAATGTCATTGTAATTGACCGTTCTGCAAAAATCCTTGTCTTTTCCCACATCTAAATTCTTAACTTGGTCTGTCGTCGACTTTTGTAATTAGTTAGTGTTGGTTCGCACAGTGCAAAAGCGGATAGTGTTTCTGCGGTGCGTTGAAATACATAAGTTTTGAAATATTTTTTCTCTTACATTTTCCAATGTATTTTTCTTAACGTGATCTTGTGATTAAATAGTGTTAAATATTAGTTTATTTTAAAAAGAAATTAACATATATCCTCTATAAAGAACAACTTGAAGGTAAAGTATTATCATGTTACAGTGTAAGCCGGTTTTAATAAATTCTATTTCTTTACTCAATATCAATTCTCGATTTCAGATGGAGGGTGCATATGACGAAATAATATCAGATAATCCTTTTTTTATGGAACTGAGAAATGAGTATACAAATTTATTTCAACATTGTATTACACAGTCTTGGATAATTTGCGTACCTCGTATCGGGAGTCTAAATACTCGAGTATTCACTATAGAAGACTTCGGAGCGCACATTTTAGTGCCTAGTGAGGAACTTCCAGAAACCCATTATAGCACATTAACAGAAAAACAAGTTACAGTCAATAATAAAGTAATTACCTTAGAACTTACCAAAGGTCTGCCTCTACAAAGCCATATACTGTTTGAAGAAACTTTTTATACTGAAGATTTAATTAAATACAAAGTGTGGTGTATAGAAAGTTCTCTAGAACCTACTGCAACTACAAGTGATAATGTTGTGACTAAAGATTGTCTTGTTTCTATAAATGACTGCATTGACCTTTTGTGGACACAAGCAGCAGGCCGTCAGGTTCTTGATCAAATAGAATTGAATGTACAAATATTTCTAAAGAAGCATCCAACTCTACCTATAGCTATTGGAACTCTTAAAGAAGCAATCAGTGAACTTTATACACAATGCCTGCAAACAACACTGCAAAATAGAAGACTTCGTGAGAAATCAAAAGCTTCTAAACATATCTTAGATAATATTAAGTTAGCTGTAGAAAGTTACATGCAACACCTTTTATTTGATACATTATTCAAATCAATATGTACCAGTTGTGCCTATGAAGATTCTCACTTGAATAAAAAAATAAGAAACATGTCGGACATTCAACTTAGAGATTTAGAAATAAAGAAAGAACTATATCATGCTGTACCTAAAGCAAAACAGATATTATCTAAAATTGATTCATATAATACTTCTTTGGAAAAAATTCTCTGTTTAAAACAAGCTTTAAATGCTGTCAATAAAATTGACAATAGCAATAATGTTGTACTTTTAACTGCTGATGATCTTTTACCTGTTTTTGTTTTCCTTCTTATCAAATCTGGTTTACCTACATGGTACAGTCAGCTAACTTATATGAAGGAATTTCGCTTCAGCGGAGTTGGTAGAGGAGATGGAGATGAAAGTTCTTTTCTTATCACCACACTTGAAGCTGTCATAGAGCACATACAATCAGGTGCATTAGCCGGTCCTCCTGACCCTGAATCTCATTACTATGAAAGTAACCTTACTGAAGAAAATTTACAAGACAATAAACAAAGAAAGAGTAGCTTGACAGAGTCCATAGCAACATCTGAAACAAACTGCAGAGAAGAAACACTCGAATATGTGTTTGAGCTTATTAAAGCTAATCATACAGAACTGGTCCAAGATATATTAGAAAGAAATCAGAAACATTTAAAAAGTATTCAACAGAACGAAAAAAGCATTCTTAAAATAGCATTAGAAGAAACTATGAACAACAATGACTTAGATGATGAGGACAGTAATAGTGATACAGAAATATACCAAAAACTTTGTCATCCATTATGCAATTGTAAAAAATGTTGGTTCAAAATCTCAAAGAATCTTTTAAAGACATCACCAACAACTTCATCAAGAGACAGTCATGGTCTCACTCCATTGCATGTTGCTTGTATCCACGGAAAAGCAGCAATAGTAGAAATATTATTAGATATGGGTGCTGATGTAAATGCAACAGATCTTAATGAATGTATTCCTTTACATTATGCTGCTTCAAGAGGACATCAAAATGCACTATTATTGTTATTACATTCTGGAGCAAATATTAACTATCCGAATGTAGACAAAAACACACCTTTGCATTTGGCAGTAAATAATGGACATTTGAATTGTGTTAAAGCACTTATTTATTTCGCAGAGCATGGTAGAAAAAAAATGAGGATCAATTGTGTCAATGAAATTGGAAACACACCTTTACATTTAGCATCTAAATGGGGCTATGAAGGGATAGCTCGGTTGTTGATAGAGAACGGTGCAGAACCAACATTACAGAATAAAAATAATAAAAGTGCATTTGATTATGCTCATAATTTAAGAATTTTACATGTTTTAAAATCATCTACACCGACATTATTTGAATACATTCACATAACAAGTTCGGACATAAAGAAATTAAATTGTAAATCTGATAATTCTGAAATCTTTAAACTGGGTAAGTTAAATTTTAAAAATAGAGATATAAGTAATAACGCTTCAAAAGCCGTAGAGAATTTGAAAAGAATAGATAGAGTGTTACAAGCAATTACATATGGTGATATAAAGCTTGCCTGTTTCTATTTGAATATTGATTATGAAACAAATACGGAGGACAGGCTTGCATCTAAAGGACCACTTTGTCATCCACTATGCGAATGTCAATTTTGTAAGAAAACACAACCTCAAATAGCAGATTTTGATATCAATTTTGCTGATACAAACGGTTTCACAGCATTACACTACGCTGCACGATTTGGTATGGAAGATTTATGTAAAATATTATTAAATAACAAAGCTAATGTTAATTGCGTAAATAAGAAAGGTCAAAATCCTTTGCATTTGGCTGCTATATACAACAAATCTAATGTTATTAGTTTACTTCTTGACAATGGGGCAAATATAAATTCAATTGACTCCGCAGGGAGTACAGCTTTGCATAATTCTAGTGACATGGGTAACATTGGCGCTACTAAAGTACTTTTAAACTATAACCCAGATCTATCTTTACTAGATGGTACTGAAAAATCAGCATTAGATGTAGCTAAAAAGAAAGTCCATTTAACTATAATAGATTTAATAGAAAAATATGCAAGTAAATTAGATAAAAATAAGTAATTCATATTAATAATTAACTATTAGGGTTTATAATTGATTTTTATCAAATGTTAACATTCCTTTGACATGATTTAATATGTTGAAATGTAACCAATTAATGAATTCCAGCCACAATATCGTTAACTAATCAATAAGGGGAGAATAAACATAGTTTAAGTCGACATTAAACGATTCTCTGACTAACTTGATGAAAGAATAATACTATTCTTGAATCCTTAATTTTGATATCGGGTAAAATATTTGTCATTTATGTCTTCAGTCTATATTATGTATAAGAAATAATTATATATTATAAGATTTTTTTTATTTACAGCACAAATATTTATCTGTTTTTTTGTGTTGTTTGTGCCATAAACATTATCAAATTATAAATAAGACTGATTATATATATCATACACTCATTATTGTTTTTTTTATGAATTGCTTACCATGGGGTTCTGAGACCAAAATCCTTGTTTAAACATATTATTTCTGTTTTTTTAAAGATAATGACAAGGATGACGATTTGTTTTATACAGAGATTTTGATGTCAGAAACCCACTGTAAATTTTTTACTTTTGTATACTTATTACAATATTTGTATATTAAAATATGTGATATATAATACCATGACACTCGCTTTAAGAATATTATATAAAAAATAACTATAGTTATTGCTTATTTTATATTGAAAAATGATGGCATTTTAAAAGAAATAAGGTTATAAGTATGTAGTGTGAAATAATAACATATTTTATTAAAATAAACCTTTTGTTTTTCATTTGTCGGACTTTTATTTAATGAACCAGTATGTAAAACAATATATTTCTATATACTATGATTTATATAAACTTGTAGAAATAATTACAATTTTAAGATATCTAACCGTGAGTTTTCGAGACCATAAACTCCATTTAAAATATTATTTTATCTTTCTTTTCTTTTCTTTTTTGAAAATGGACAGGGATGACTATACGTTTTATACAGAGATTTGGTCTCAGAAACCAACGATTAGTTATCAATTATATCAAATCCTTTACTTAATTGTAGTTGATTTACATTTTTTTTAATTAAATTTTACCAAGTAAATTAAGTTTACTTATACATTTCATTAACTTTATAATGTAGGAACACAATTCATAAAATAAACATTAGAATTAAAAACAATTATTACTATTAGGCCTTTTATATATAATATATTTAAAATAAAATATGATTTCTTATACCAAAGCTAAATTTAATGGTAAAAAAAAATGGTTAGTTAGTTTTAAAGTTAATTCATTATAAACGAATTGTTATTTCTGTACAATATTATTTTGCAATATCAACATTTAAATAATATTAAAAACCACCGTCAAATTTTTATACAAAGCTGATATTGATTCTATTAAGTAAAATCTTTTAAAATCACTTAACACGTTCTATACCACGGAATAGTCGTGTGAACGAACTTTTATACGTAAAAATTTTAGAAGCTTGTTTTAGAACTTAAAAATATTTCATAACAGAATTATGAAGAATTAAGCATCGAGAGCGTCGGTGGCTCAGGGGTCAAATACTTGACTTGCAATCTGCGGGTCCTGCGTTCGAATCCCGCCTTATACCAATGTGTTTTTCGATTTATTCGACGTTCTTGCCATGAAGAAAAACATCGTGATGCAACCTGCACATATCTGAGAAGAAATTCAAAGATATGTGTGAAGTCAACCAACCCGCACTTGGCCAGCGTGGTTGACTATGGCCTAATCACCCTTAACTTAGGGTAGGCTCCGAGCCCCTCGGTGGGGACGTATAGTGAACTGATGATGATGAAGCATAATTAATTTGCCACAATAACAAGACTTTAGACGTCAACTTGCGCGTTTAAATTGTACATATTTTCATTACATCTGGGCATTAGAACCAATTACTTGACAAAAAATAATTACATTAAATTATCACATCAATTTCCATTATCATAATTAAATATTTTTAACTGACCTTTACATAATAAAAAAAAATAGAACATAATATTAATACTAAATTAACCTTATCAATAAATAAAATTATATTTCAAGATTTTGAGTATTTATCACAATTAAAAAGTTTCCATTGCTTAACAAGACATATTAAAACCTTTTTTTTTTCGTAAAAATGTCATTGTATATACATGTGTTACAACAATGGAAACCCACGGTTCATATGCATAAGTTTGACCGTGTAACAATTTTATTAAAAATATCGCAACAAAAGTTGAATTTTGATTAATATAAATATGTTTATCTTAATATTACTTTTACCTATTGCATTGTGCATTTCATTCTCTAAACTGTAGGTTAAACTTAACTCTTACATTATCTAAAAAAAACTATAAAAATAATATAATAACCCAAGTCATGAAATAATCGGTTCAGTTCACTAACATCTTCAAAACGAGGTTTACGAAAATATTTTTAAAAGCTCTTAAATAAACTATCGTATTTTTCAAGACGTAAGACAAGATTTTAAATATTAATACGATTACGTACGTACGTACGCATCATGCATGAAAATTGACTAGGCAACCAAAATCTACAGGAGGTTAGACAAAGTACATTCGCTTCGAAGCGATTCCATAACGAATTTCAACATGGTACTGACGCGCGACAATCACGTGACTTATCGAAAGTTATTGTCAATTTTATACATTTTTGAAGTTCGCTATGGAATCGCTTCAGAGCGAATGCACTTTGTCTTATTCCCTAGATCTACTTCTTTCTAACGTTACTTTAAAAATACAGAAATTAATATTTATCAAATCTATAAACAAAACAAAACAAAGTAAATCGCAATTTTGTGACTTACGACAGTTTACGTAGGAGCCATCGATTTTTGAACTTTTTAATTGTTGTATAAGATTTTTAAGTGACAGTAAGAAATTAAAGCCACACAAATTGTAAAAAAAAAAATTATTTGTGCGCGTTACGGTTTATTTTAAAAACATCTATTACTCAAAAAGGTATAAATGTAGTAATTAGTGAATCTTATTTTAACTTATTTTCATTTTGGTCCCATGTTTTTTTATTTCTGTCTTGATACAAAATATTCTAGGATTTATTCTGTAAGAATGCTATACAGTTAATAAATAAAAAAAATATATATTAAAAAACCGGGTTTGTGCTTACACGCGTATATATGAATAAAAAGAAAAATTACCTAAGTAATAATCACGATTTTTCTTTAAGAAACTTACAGTAAATGTCAAATTGGTTTTAGAAAATAGCAATTTAAAAAAAATAGTGACAATATAATTATAATATAACTTATAAAAAACTGCCAGTAACATAAATAGTAATTTTACTCTGTACATTTGTTGACTATTTTTATACTAATAAAAACTATGTACAATCTTTATAAGTATTAAATACTAACGAATAAATTCTTTGTTTCTAATAACAACAATATATTACTCTGATTTGTGCCTTATTACTTTGGTGGTAGAGTCCATATTGGAATCTCTTCTTTTTTCTTTTCCTTCTTTTTATAAAACCTATCTCTTAATCTGACGTCATCTTGTAACCTTAAATTTGACGATTCACTTCGCCAATCGACAATTTTCTTAGGCGATTTATATCTATAAAATTTTTCTTGTTCTTTCTTTTCATCAAAATATATTCTACTTTTTAGGAATAATTCATTTTTATCTGGATCACATATTTCTTGTGGGTCTTCGATATCTTCATCTGTCAGTTCGTATACATCGTCTCTATTAAATGCGAAGGAGTGTGGGTAGTAAGCTTGTAGGATGTCTTCTTGTCTGAACTGTTGCATCTGTACCCAAACATGTGGCAGTAATAGTGGGAACCGTCGTAACCAGTACGTAACAAACCCGTCCGGTAATTTACCTAAACTGTCACGTACCTCACTGTCTAACTCTCTGTAGTGATGTTTCTGGAAATTAAAAGCGTAATTTTAGTATAATACTAGCTGTCGCCCGCGACTCCGAGTTCTTCTATATCTTATCTACATATTATCTATAGTTTAATCAAGATCCTTTGAACCGTTCTGCAGATACCTTCTAACATCCATTCACATATAAATCCATCCATCCACACATTTGCATTTAATATTAGTAAAAAGTACGATCGTAATTTTATTTGTTAAAAAATAAAAATTATTTTTTTTCCCGCTAAACCTAAAATTGTATTCTACGCATCAATTCGCACAAAGTTCAAAGCCGCCTAGCTATATGAAATCGTCTATACCTTATTACGTATAGCCCGCAGTAGATGCGCGACGCGTTCGCCGCGGTAGGTGCGTCGCGCACGCAGGTCGCCCGCGACTGGTGCGCTCACGTGCGCGCGCCAATCACCGCGCACCACGCGCCGCGCACCTCGCTCTAGAGGATGCTCTGCGCCTGCGCACGAACAACTCTCTACTTGGTCACTCACGTCCTGGAATGCAAAAAAAAATTAAAGGTATTTGACACTACTACTACAACTACTACTAAGCGTAGTAACTTAAGCGACAATTGTAAAAAAAAAAATTTAAGGCTTACTAAATTGTCCACAACTTGTAAAAAAAAAGATCGTTATACAAGCGTCTTTATGATAGACAGAAAGAGAGATAGAGACTAAAGAAAATTGTAAATGGACTAGAATAGTATTCTTAATTTTCCTATATTAGAAATCCCTTTAAGCAGCATTTTCATCGTAATTTTATTAACATTTTCCATGCAAAAGTTTACACCTATATATTTATAAATAGGATAGAATAACCTATAAAATAGGTTGACTAATTAGTCTCACCTGCAAGAAGTTTAGTATTGACTGCTTGCCCCAGAACATGGGGTACTTGAGTACAGTCTCGCAGGGCGGCCTCAGCTGCGGCCGGCTTGATATCATCGCGCGGATCAGCATCTTTGTTACTACTAATTCCTCCTCCGGTAAGATTTTACTGAAAATACAAAAGGATAATTTAAAAAAACCAGGGGCCATATATCGTGTTTCTTATGATGTCTCATATCTTTTCGCAGAGTTGCTTTATGTTTTTTTTGCTATAATTATTGCTTATATAAAACATAATTTAACCTAGTACAAGTGTGTTATATACGTTTGTTGTTTTCCAACTAAATTAATACCATTTTTATAAAATTTATACGTTATTAAAAAAAAATTACAACATGACATTTACAATCTTTATTAATTTATTACATAGAAAATAAATTAAAAAAAAAACTTTATTAGTAACATGTTTTTTTCCAGACTATATTCTACATGTACGCCTAAAACAGCGAGATCCCTGCAGCCGTTCTGGAGATAACATCAATCCATCTAAACTTTCGCATTTATAATATTAGTAAGATATAAAGTTGCTTACTCTAGTTGCTCGAGACTGTAGTCGCCGGTAAGTATATTAGCCTGGCGACGCAACACGTCGCCGAAGGGGTGCTGGCCACGTGACAGCACGTAATAGAACACGCAACCCAGAGAGAATATATCCACTGATGTCGTCTACAACACACAAATAATATAGTATGGTTAACTAACCGTGGGTTTCTGATGTCAAAATCTCCGTTTAAAACATATTGTTCTCTGTTTTATCAAGGATGAAAGACAGGGAAGACGATATGTTTGTCACCCTCTCATACAATGTTATATGTATGAAATCTCACGACCACGCCCATGAGTTATAAACAAGCACTTAATACATACTTAAACAGACGCTTAGGGTATTTTTTTTTAACAAGTCTGTGAGAACTCCTTGAGTTTTGAAGTACTAATACACAGAAAATCAATAAATATATTTATTTGAAAACTTTATCGCACAAAAGAATCCAATTAGATGACTAAATATAAGTATCCGAGGTCAGAAACATATCGACATCCCTGTCTTCCATCTCTAAATAAACAGAGATAACAATATGTTTTAAACGGAGATTTTGACATCAGAAACTCACAGTAATCCAGATTCTATACTACTCAGTATAAACATCAAAAGCTCACCGTTCTCTCTCCATTTATCATTTCAGGTGCTATCCAGCCATCTGTACCGGTGACTCCAGACCGTCGGGAGAAGCTAACTCGTCCTATGTTCAGCTTCTTGGAGAGGCCGAAGTCTGAGATCATGGCTCTCACCTCACCAGACCCAGTGGGCATTGATAGTAACACATTATGAGGCTTTATGTCTCTGTGCACTGGAAAATATAATTAAACTGTCAATATGACTATTATTTCTCTTTTTGTTTTAGTTATTAAGTAAACAGTGAAACGTCAATTTTTTTTTAATGACGGCCATTACTTTATTCAGTTATTTTGTAAAAATCTTACTAAATGCTAATATCAGATCAATCATCATCATCATCAGCTCACTATACGTCCCCACCGAGGGTCTCGGAGCCTACCCTAAGTTAAGGGTGATTAGGCCATAGTCAACCACGCTGGCCAAGTGCGGGTTGACTTCACACATATTTTTTGTATTTCTTCTCAGATATGTGCAGGTTGCATCACGATGTTTTCCTTCACCGTTAGAACGTGGGTAAATATACATATGTTAATCGGAAATCGAACACATTGGATGGATGAATGAACGTTTATTAGATATCGTAAAAAGGCTGAATAGATCTCGCTGAAATTTGGTATAGATGTCGAACACAGTCTGGAAGCACACATAGACTACTTATCAAGTTTTTTGTTTAACTCCGCGCGGATGGTGTTTTGGGCAACAGCTAATTTTGTGATAAAGCGAAGAATAATATAAAAAGGGTAGTTAATATTATATGACAAAAAGGTTATTATACATACCTATATCCATAGAATGTAGATGTGACAGTCCCAATGTCGCCTGCCTCAATACTTCCACACCATCTATCTTACATTCGAAGTTTAATTTCATCTCAACATAGTCCTGTAAAGTCGCTGAACATAGCTCTAATGCTATGTACCTGAAAGACGTAAAATTGCGATATGTCAAAAAGTACCAACCAACAAACTGCACATTCAAAAGAAGCACAAACATACAATAAAACATAACAAATTATATGTAATTAAAAACTAATAAGTCACCTGAATTGCTTATCCCGTTCTGTGCAATAATAACGTACAACATGCGCGTGCGCATCTGATTCCCTAAGTAGCGCCACCTCGCGGTCAGCGAACGTAAAGCACTCAGGCAGCAACCTCTTTACCGCCACAGCGCGCTTGTCGAACATGCCTCTGTGTACCAACACCATAGAATATATATTAGTAACGTCTCATCAAACTACATTGCCTCTCACTCTCTTTTAGAAAATGAGACATTAATAATGTATCCCTTCCCACCCTTATCAAATAAACAAAGGGAACGGTAGGGGAAGTGGATATAACCGACGAGAGGACGCATTAAATGGGGATACATTATCTTTCTGTATCCCCTCTTGTCCCCTCGTCCATCGATTAAAGTTAAGCAACGCATCTGCAATTGCCTATGGGTTGCAGTTGCTGCGCCATTTCGGCGAATCCAGGTTGGTCGTTTGCCAACTAATAATTTAAAAAAATATTCTCAAGTTACCTTTAACTTATAGTCATTTTAACACACGTAAAATAAACTTTAGGAACTTTTAATATTGATATATTTAAATTTATGTAAATTTTAACTACTTTTTATCACTCTTATTATAATTAAAGTTTTATTTAGTAGAAAAAGATAAAAAAAACAATGTTTATCGTCACAGTATGAAAGTTTAAGCCCGCATTGCATTAATAAGTCTTTATTGAGGACATTAACGGTAAAGTGGTACATTTATGATTTTAAACTAAAAAAAAATAGATCCATTCTAACGGAAAATGTAAGTTTCCTTCATTGACTTAAAAACAGCCACAAAAAAGAAGCTACTATCAGTTACAGTTTTACAAGAAGGCGGATATTGATTCGAATTCATATAAAATATGCTGTTTTATATCAAACAAGGAAGTTTTGTTATCAATGGTTAATTATAATTGTTTAGGGAACATAACTTTTATTAATTATTAGTTAAAATGCATACACTATTCAGACAATTCATGTAAAAATCGATATTCAGCAATACCATAGACAATCATATTAATATTATAAATGAGAATGTTTAGATGGATGGATGTTCTGAAGATATCTCCAAAACTACTGAACGGATGTTGTTGAAATTTCCCATATGTATAGAGTACGATCTTTCGCCCGCGACTCCATCCGCGCGGAATTAAAAATAAACTTAATCAGTTACCTAGTGTTCTAAACTAAGTTCTACATCTATGCCAAATTACATCAACATCCGTTCAGCCATTCTGGAAATCCATTCAAACAATTATCCATCCATACATACATGAATCCATGCAGACATGCAAATATTCGCATTTATAAATTAGTAAGAAGTAAAATAGTCTGGAAGAACACATAGGTTACTTATTAAGTTTATTTTTAATTCCGCACCGATGGAGTCGCGAGCGACAGCTATCATTTACATAATAATAGATCGCTACATAGTTTATTACGCACAGTTCATAATTGTCTATATTTCAAAGTGAATTTATAATGCATTCGATACAAGGTCGAATAGACGGGGGCATGTTTTATAAAACACACGCAAATGTATGTGACATTGAAAACTTTGTGTATACACCGTGAAATTGTGTAAACTTACTACGTAACAAGTCAACGGCCTATGAACACAAAGTGCAAACATTCGCCAATGTTTGCAATACAACTATCGCCTTTGTAACTTCGATTCTTCAAGTTAAAACAGCACGATTCTTATCCGAAACCTAATAAGACATAAACCAAAACAAAGGTTTGGTTTAAAATTCTAATCGATTTGGTTTATTAGTATTTTTGTTAATTTTATCTTACTCGTATTATAAATGCGAATATTTAGATTTTAGATGGATGTTTGTTTGAAGGTATCTCCGGAACGGCTCAACGGATTTTGATGAAATTTGGCACACATATAGAACATAGTCTGGAAGAACACATAGTCTACTTATTAAGTTTAAATTCCGACTATTTCATTTCCGCGCGCACGAAGTCGCGGGCGACAGTTAGTACTGTTATAAATGAAATTTAAAATTAGAAGAAATTCAAAAATCGAATACATAATACGGTTAGAAATAGCCATTTGGTGATTTTAGCAAAGGTTTTTTTTAATATAATAGTTTGAAATAAAATATTCTTTAAATAAAATGATACTAAGTCTATAGGAAAATATTCCTTTTAGTAACAAAAAATATTAACACCTCATTCCATATCAACTGACAAATAAATTTAACGCAGTTCACAAAGTTCATGGTCACAAAGTATAAAAGTGGATAATAAGTTTAAGTTATAATACGGAGATTTTAAAATTCAAAATCAATAAACCAACCTGTAAACAAAAGTTCCTTCACATCCCTTGCCCAAAACTTGATCCGTATGGAAAGTTATCTTGCCAATACGGACCTCTCCATCCCCGAGGTCAACAAGCTGACCAGTCACCTCGCCTTGAGAGGATGCATTGGATACTGTGGAGCCACGGGAACCACCTTGAGATAATTGCTGAAACTCCCTCGCCTGAAAACATACGAATAATGACAACGCTGTATCATTAATTTGACGATTACCATGTGAAAAAAAAATTAAAAGCGCAAGAACACTTCATGGGGACAAAAGAACTTTTTTGTTACTACATAGCTATAGGCAAACTAATATAAAATGCCAATAAAAAGCTATTACTTTTTAACCCTTAATTCGACGAAATTTTTTGTAGCAAAAAACTGTTTTTTTTTTAGTAAAGTCATACGTAAGTTTCTCTAAACTAGTTCAATAGATTTTTTTTATTAGTTGTTCATCACACTGGACACCATCGAATTAAGGGTTAAATTATACAACAAAATCTCTGCCCCATAAAGGTATTTAAAGATAGTTTTATACTGAACCGATAAAAATACTATCACGGAAATTGGGTCACACGTAAAACGCTATCAAAAGAATAACTTACAAGCATTAACGCAAATCAAGATATGTTTCAATACTATAAAATATTACAAACGATGAGATAACAGAGATAATGTACATACATTATCACTAAACAATATGTTTTATGCAGTGGAAATCCACACTTAAACGAAAGGAAAACAAAAACAACAGGTAATCGCACATGTCTAGATGAATGGATGTGTGTTATAAGTTATAGCCGAAACGACTCAACGGATCTTGATGAAATTTGGCATAGATGTAAAACATAACCTGGAAGAACACATACTAATTAAGTCTTTTATTTCGCGGGCGACAGCTAGTGTTAAATAAATCATTTTCCTTTTGTCATAGAGTACAAATGTAATGAAATTTCAAGCTATACACTTCGCCGGCACTGAAGAACATGTGAAGGAAATTGGCGTGTAATTGTTACACTGAAATGACGAGAATTCCAAACAAATTGTAGCGCGAATTTAACTTTATTAACAAACTGGCTGTCGCTCGCGACACCGTCCGCGCGGTAATAAAAAATATTAATAAGTAGTCTATGTTTTCTTCCAGACTATGGTGTACATCTATGAAAAATTTCAGATCCGTTTAGCCGTTCCGGAGATACCTTCAAACAATCTATCCATATAAACATTCGCCTTTATATATAAAATCTAACCCATGCGCAAAGATCTAAAATTGCTTTGCTATATGTTAATATATAAAACATTTATCAATAATTTCAACATAAAACACTTCATACTTCAATATAAATAAGAAAACATATACACAACAAAGATCTTTATAAAATAACTTAAAATAGTAACATCAAATTCACCTAATGTTCTTACATACGTTATAAACTAACTAGCTGTCGCCTGGGGCTCCGTCCGCGCGGATAGAAAAAAGACTTTATTAGTAGTTTATTTTTTCTTCCAGACTATTGTGTACATCTATGCCTAATATCAGCGAGATCCATGCAGAAGTTTTGACAATATTTTCTAAAAACATCGATCCATCTTGCCTATCGTAAGACAAGAGTTAAAAAAGAGGCAAGTTTACATAGATTAATATGCAAAACCTTATATGTTGTGTTGAAATCTATAAATGCTACATCTATATGACACAACTCGCATATACGGTAATATAATCTATCTCTAATCTGCCACTATGTCTGTTACATATGACTTAAATTAACTTTTATGGCAAATCTTAAGTCATTGAACTCAACTTTTTTTTTGTGACTGAGTAGTCACTGTTTGCCTTGAAGAGGCATTTACAGCTTCACAGGGCTTGAGGTGGCCGAGCGCAGATTGCGCTTAGCCTGAACCTCGTTTAAGAGTAATAAGACTCGAAGGCTCCCTCAGGAGCCTCGGCTCGGGCTGTTACTTCGTTATTGTTACCGGATTGGGAGGTAACCGAGCTCTTAGATCGCTTAGGTGGACGCTCCATGGAGTGACTGGACTCAAGGGCCCCCGAGAGGGGACCTCGGCTTGGGACTGTCACTCATTACACGTTTAGCATTCCGCTTCAAGGGAGCCCGAGAGGGTCGAACCTCGGCTTGATCGGTTGCTATTATCTGATTGCTTGAACTCAACTTTGAAGACGAAAAATATATAAATAAATGGTCGTAACTTTGTTACAAAGCTTCATATGTTCAATTTTTAGAACTATTAAAATGCAAGTCATGCTACCTAAATATATATGACTCATCAATGATACATACAAAGAATATGTAAAAAAAATTATGACCGTTTATAGTAACGTATAAGTAACAGTTTTCAAAACAATTGTCTATTATTTAGCGACACATATGAACAGGACCGACTTCATATCGACAGACAAATCGATAATACTTTCTTTTATCCTTGGAAAGACTATAATTACTTTAATAGTACAGTGCTGAATAAATGTGTACTCACACATAGATGACAATGACAAAATAATCTTATTAATTAATATTACAAATTTAGAAATAGACGTAGAACATATTCTGGAAGAACACATAGGTTACTACTACACATGTTTTTGTTATTGTGTTGTAATATTGAAAGGATTAAACGTTGTTTTATTTTATTAAGTTTTTTTTTTATTCCGCGCGCATTCGTGGACACCAGCTAGTATTTTATAAAAATATATAATGTATTTATTAAACCCCGAAGAAAGTAAAACTAAGGTTATTCGGGGGTAAGGACTTCCAAATAAAAAAATACAACGTAGCATGTTAATTAAAAATACTTTGTTCTTATGGAATTTATACGATGTAGCGATAAGTCATTAAACCACTGGTTTGATTACGAACTATTTTCTCGATATTTCAACGTAACGTATTTTTAAAGGAGGCTGAGTCCTAATTTTAGTCCTCTTTCCCTTTCCACCCTTTTTTATAAGGAATGGAAGGGATGAGGAAGTAGAACTGATGGAGGAGGGGACGCATAGTAAGGGGAAATATTATCTTTTTGTGCGTCTTCTCTTCCGTCGATAACAGGTATATGCAACATACCTGAAGTTGCAATGCCTACTAATCCAAAATATATAAAAAAAACTAAACCATGATACTACGATGTCATTTTTTTTTATATCATAAGGTGGCAAACGAGCGAGCGGCCACCTGAAATCGCTGAAATAGCGAAGCGACCGTTGCCCACTGACATACGCAATTGCATCTGCGTTGCCTACCTTTAATCGACGAAGGAGAGGATGCACAGAAAGAAAACATTTCCATGCATCCTCTCATCCGGAAAGTCCACTTTCACTTCCCATCCTTATAAGAAAAAGTGTAGAAAGGGAAAGAGGACTAAATTAGGCCTCCGGGACGCACACTCATCAGACGAAACGCGGAATTGCTTCCACTTCACGCCTGTCTTCTGTGTGGTCGTGGTATTTCACCGGGCGAATCGGGCCAATTCGTGCGAAGATGTTAAAGCGGGCTCTACCACTGTTAATTACAATCTTAATGATTCATATACGGTGTACTGGTGTACCATCATTATGGTTATAATGAATATATCAATATAGATCCGTTAATTTATTAGATCAACGGAACGGACATCCCAACAGCAGATAAAGTTACTTATAATTAGCTTAACGCACTTATATAAGCTGTTTTTATCTAATCACAATAGCCATGTGGTTGAATAGTTCGATAGCACTGAAACTTTATACGTCCCAAATCTATTAACACACATCCTTACTAAAATTATAAATACGAAATTAACTGTCTGTATGTCTCGCTTTCACACCAAAATTACTGAAACGATTTAAATAAATTGGTATGCATATAGTTTAGAGCCTGAGAGAGGATATAGGCTACTTTAACGCGAAATAAAGGTTTGTAAAGGGTTGAAATTGGGGTTTAGCTAGTTTTATTTTAATATGAAAAAGCCATGAAAAACATAAATTAAAAAAAATAGTCATTAAACCATAACGAGACGAATTTGTAATTTAGAGTAAAAAAAATTGAAAGCAAAGTACAATTGTGAAAATAACTCACCTGATATCGAAGGTACCAGAACATAGCGACGACTAATCCCATAAGTATAATCAACGCGACTTTAAGAGCTTTGTTCTCCTGCTGATGTAACCACACATAGCCCTGCTTGTACCACAAGTCCGGTCTAAATCCGAAACCTTCGAACAACTCATCAGTCTGTACCGACACTGATACAGAATTAGATTTAAGATTAGTCTCATTTTCCATATCTTTTTCTGTCTCTGCTTGCATTCGTCCGTTTATTAACTTCATCCCATTAAGTCCTGGTACTTTAAGATAATTCGCGGTTGGTAATTGAGGCATCCAAGATGTGGTTAACTCTGGTACTTTATAGTGTCCTAATAGAAGATAAGGTGGTGATACATGGAGATTTAGATCGCTAAGTTTGTAATGTATGTTTGAGAATGGTTCGTAAGTCGGCGCTTCCGTACTAGCTTGTATTTCAGCTACTGGTCCTTCGAGCAGGAGAGGATGGGTGTAACCAGTTGATATTGTGACTGTGTTCTTGTCTACTAATGAAGACAGCGCGTAAAGACCGTGGTTGTGCTCTCCGATGTATAAAGTAGGGCTGAAATGGATTTTTATGTTGACAAAAACATACAAACATAAAAAGTTAAAATTTTGCTAATCACCCTACAATTTATCAATTAAAATAAATTGACAAAAGATAAGATAAAAAGATTGATTTGTTTTTCCCGTGTCTTGATAAACAAACATTACCTTCCTGCTTAATAGTTTAAATGCCTTTTTCATTGAAATAATTTGACTGCTAACAAAAAAAAATTCCATAGTCAAAAGTTTACGTTTGAAAATTAAAAATTGATTAAGAAATTAATGCTTAAAACCAAGACTTAATCGCCTTCAATATGCACATTACGTTGAACGTGTGTGATTAAAATTAATAACACTTATGTAGACAATTTTAATAAAGCCACTATTTAAAAACAGGTTAGTTAGTTCTTGCCGACAAATAAAATACGAACTAAGTATTAACTTACTACAATTCAATATTAGAATTCTTAATTCCTTGACCATTCCTTAGTGTCGTCGCGTCTTCCATTATGTGATCCAGAGTGTCATCTCCGATGGAATTGAAAGGGACAGAGATCAGTCCTTCTCTATCTAACAAATATGCTGCAACCACTGGAGTCTCGAAATTATGGGACCAAACCAAATCCCCAGTTTTACGGTCAAATGACATTATCCGACCATTTGAAGTAGATGTGAAATGAATTATACCTTAAAAGTGATATTGATAAGGTTACTCAAAAACTTAACACGTTCAATGCCACTAAGATTTACTACAATGGGGCAAGGCATTACCAATAACGAATTTCAGCACATACCATAATCGTTCAACATCTCTTTGCCCATAGCATGGGAGGTGTAATCATAAAATGTGACATTCCACCTCTGGTTTTCGTTCTTGGAGTCATGCATCAGTATGTTATACTCAGTCCGAGCGACATACACACCTCGCCTCTTGTCTGGCTCGCATGTATTGTCCTCATCATTCTTAAATATTTTCGATTTATCGAAACCTAAAATTATTATCATTTTAAATTGTATGCATTAGTTATTTTGACAGTTGAGTGCTCTGCTGCAGTTTTATGCTCTTTTTAACGTAACTCTCCTTATTCTGAATTTATGTTCTTACAGTCAGCGTTGAGAGTGTTAAACGTTTTTTTTATGATAGAACTTCAAAGTGAAAGGGATCTCGGCACGATCTGAACATCATATACCCTACATAGAAAACCGTAACTTTAATGTTATAAAATGTTATTAAATACTAGTAGTAAAAATTGTTATAAGGTATCTCCTGGAGATGAAAAACATAGAACACATAGTCTGCCAATGAGTTTTTAACTTCTCAAGAACGGAGTCGCGGGCGATAGCCAATCGTAAATAAAAACGAAATTTAAACTAATATTACTGATTTGATTAAAAAAAATCAATCAAATCTATCGATTGTCTATCTTAAAACCTATAAAGGCTATCGGTTTGTAGAAAGATTTGTTTTATAAATAAAGTAATTATCTATACGCAGACGAGCGCCGGAATAGTCGCGAAACTTTTTCGAATGTTCGAGGTTATCGTGACCGTGAAATTCTACTGCCGCGGCTCTTGTATTAAAACATATTGTTGTCTCTACTTATAACAAGTAAATGTGAGAGATGACAATATACTCTCATTCGAGTGTCGACAGTCAAAATCCACCTTTACAAACAGGTGCACCTACGCGACGGTCAAATATTTGCAGCCAGTATTGAAACTTGTGGAAAGTTCTTGAATGATTCTATTTCATTTTACGATTTAAATGACTTAATAAGTTAAAATACTTATTATCAGTCTACATGTTACCTTGAAATATAATAGGAAGGATAACATGAACTAAAAAGATATCCTTTTTAGTTATATAATATCCACATTTAAATACATACGTATATAGTTCTGTGTGAATTGGATAACTTGGTCATAATGCAACTTATTATAATTGTTTACGGGAAAATTATTAAATTTGTAATAATTAGCCTTTGTGATGGCTGAACAATTATAAACATTTTTTAAAAATAGAACAAGATTAAGATCATTGCGCAGTACGAATACGAGGTATAGTACATTATGTAAATTCGTTATATATAGCTATAGCTATACATGGATATACCCAATAAACAGAGTTTATTAATAAGAATATTTATTTAACACTTTCAATGCCACCAACCGCTATAAGTTCACTGTCACAAAAAGTTATTGTGGCATAGAATGTATTAAACATTTGGTAAGAGTACCGAAATATTTTACGACAGTGGAAACCCACCATTAAAATGCCAAAAACGTAAAAAAAAGAAATAGGAATCGAACATACCAGAAATGTGCTCCCTCGAACCAGTTAATGGATCGAGCATGAACCATGTATCACTCTTCTTCCCCGTATACAAAATCCCATCTGTAGACCTGCATGGTGCATTAGCAACCAACTCTGGTATTGTAAATGGTAGCTTCTTGAGCATCTGTTTGTCCCCCCTCGGTCCATACATATAAAGTGAACCATGGCGAGGATCCGGCAGGAATTGAGGCATGAGATTTGCATGCTGATTGGGTACTTTTACTACTGGCTCTAAAACAAAAAACAATGTAAACAACGCTATTTCTTTTTTTCAGCTTCACGACCACACTCGGGATGTACTTTTTTATTAACATTATCATAGTAAAATGTAATTTTATCTTTTTGATCAAGGTGTTAGTTTAAAGTTATTTGGGCGACGGAAGTAGTCTGATACGTAATCCGGTAATCTTGAATCATTTTTAATATTGTGTACTAAGATAATCATTTTTATTGCTAACATATGTAATTAAAAAGATAGTAGTTGTTGGGATAATAAATTCTGATATTAGTGTTTATATTTCCAATGGTCTAGACTAGAATTTTAAATTTCAACAGTCTAAAATATGCAGTTACTATCGTAGAAGAGTTTACACTCAACATAGAGTATGTTGTATTTGATTGAAATTATTTCTTTATACAAAAGTATGTTACTATTAAATAAATATCCATATGTCAACATAAAAGTAATTATAATTTTAAATATTGCAATGATACAGTGGCATTATCAATACATGACAATGTAAACATGATGTATATCGATAAACTTGACCTTGACATTCATAACAATGAAAAATAAAAACACTATAGTGAACTCGCTTTGCAAGTGGTTGTAAAATGACTTAACTTTTATTTTATTTATGCATTAATCATATGAAAAGTACTGAATGCATTAGTACGAGAATATGAGCAAAAGACTCAAAACATTTGTAGTTGCATGTAGAATATAAATGTAACGAGATTGTTTAATGTCTTTTTGTGTACATATATTTTTTTCATTGCACTGCAACTCAATGGCTTGAATACATATTAAAAAGGTTAGGTTTCTTACTAAACTTGTTTTATAGTCTTTAAAATGCATTTAAAATTGTAGCAAATCTATTTATTTTTTTTATAGAACAAAGCAAATGAGTGGTGGACCAATAGACATCTATATCGTCATAGCAACCGCAGATGACATGCCAGTCTTTTTATATTCATATATACACTTTTTTTGTTGTAACTATTACAATCTGCGAATGACAGCAATAACAACAAATAACTAATTTACTGCACTGATAATGTATTAGAGCATAACATAATGTTCAATATTGATAAAAAAATGTACAAATGTAGATAAAATATGTGTCTGGCATTTAGCCAGTGATAAAGCTGTTGTGATAACCGACATATGCCTAAGCAGGTGCTGCGTAAGCTGGAGTTACCCACACATGGTGATATTATCAATGAATGACATTTAAACCTATTAATAAAATATTTTAAGTAATGGAAAAAACAAAACATAATGAATAGTCATCAGAATTATTAAAACCAATATTTAAACTTAAATGAGCAAAAACATAATGAAATTATTATTGAATAATGTTATAAAGTGATTGCATCAGCAAAATAAATTTATGAACTCAATATTACCAAAAAGGTACATGAAAATACATCTCTAAAAATAAAACTAAATATCATTTAATTTTTTAACTTCTAAATAGTGAAAATACTCTTAAGACAATATTAGTAAACAACATCATATTTAAAACATATTATATTTATAGTTGAATTAAAAAAATTCTCATCATCAACACTAATACTGGCTGGAATTTGTCAAGATTAGGCTTCTAATAATTAATAATTACAATTTTAATAATCTGCTTGTATTTTTCTAGAACAATTTATTTCTGATATGAATCCCATAATCTTTTTATCACTAAAAATATATGCCAAGTTTGTTACTTTTTTGGTAACATTGTATGAAATATTTTGTTACCTCATTATTCTTAACACTTCTTTCACTTGGCTATTAGTCTATAACCCTTGAAATACTTGTTGGTACATTCATTTACTTTTACATCAAAATGGTGATTTATTACTCATATAATGATGAATATTTACCATCTTTCAATTTCCAAATAATATTTCCTGTAACAGGTTCCACCGCCACCATTCCACCACCTAAGGTGGCAAACAATAAAGGCCGGTCATCCAAAGCGCGCGATAATTCTGTGCTATCCTGTAATGTTTACGTTGTTTACTCATCGATACTACACTTTATATTCTTATATTTCAACATATAACCAGAATACACTCCACCTTTCTTTCTTTTTCAGCACAAATAGGTCCACCTAGGCCTACCACAAGCAGTATAACAGCAAGTAACTTCATATTACACGTTTTACGCGTTAACCTGATGTTTTAAATCCCATTATTTAATTGGAAAACAAATACTTCTTTAACAGAAAAACATATTCAACACAAAGAAGTCTCCCGAACTATTCCATGACTGTTATTGTAAAACGAGAACAACTAAACAACGCGTGCAAACTCAGGAATAAAATTCAGTGTTTCTTTTGCTCTTTCCAGACTGCAAACGCAAATCAACAAAATTGTCAAAATCATCGAGACTTGTCACATTGACAAGACCAAAGAGTGTGTAGTAATGGTAGTAATACTTAGTACTACTACTAAATATTCCCAATAAAAAGTTACCGGTTTTGTAAAAAAAAACTATTTTTGAATAACAGCGTTTATGTTACCAAATTCATTTTTTTTAGTTGTTCCACTAGTAACATGTGATGACCATCAGGCTCACCCTTGTACACTTAAAAGTCCCCATTAATTAATTATCAAAATATTTATTTGTGAATCTGTGATCTACAACTGTGACACAATAAATAATAAACGTCAAATCAAACTCAAACTTCTTGATCGAATCAAGTATCATTTGGTTTCATTGTATATTTTGACCAAATATTCCATCTATTACTTAAAAGTGCTTATTATCAAGTTTTATGCATCGTATGATGTGATCCTTATTTATTCTAAACACTAATCCTATTATGCAGAACTATTTTTGTTGAAAAATATGGAGGTGTCAGGCGCGGGTATGTTAATTCAGTAACAAAATAATTTCACAATAATTCTTATCTATTTTCTTTGTTGCAACTAAAGAATAAAACATTGTTAATATCATAATAAATTCTAAATAATTATATGACAATTTTCCTTTGAATTGTTTCTCTGACAACAGACAAAATAAACAATATTTTAACGCCGTATATCTGCTGAATTTTATATATTTTGATTATAATTGTATAATTACTGGTTCTGGAAAACGGAAAAATTCTATGGTTTAAATCAAAAATTCTAAAATTATGCTGAATAAAGTATTAGATATTTTAAAGAAAATTGTAATACTATAAATTACTTTTACAATCGGTCATTTAATTAATTCAAATACAGTTACACTCCATTGACTTTCTATAACAAACATAATTGGACAATTTTATGTTAGAATGTGTCATAATCTTTATCTAGAACAAACAGAGCCAAAACAATGAGCTCATTCTGATTTTCACAGGGAAATCACCCAATGCAACACTATCATTTAGATATAATGCAAATAATGAAGAGTTAGAGGAATTATTTCAACCATGTGAAGATGATCCTCCAACCCCACAATGTGAACCACCAGTTAAAGAACCTATAAGTGCCAGCCCAAAACGTGGGGACAAAACATCAATCATAGATAAATATTTCAAGTCTATGCGCACTGAAAAAACAATTGACAAACAAGATGACTCCAAACAAGCAGAGAGTAAATCTAATGAAGAAAGTAAAAGTCCAGTTCCACCAAAAGAAGTCTCTTCATCTCCAGTAAAAGACTATCTAAACAGATTAGGTAAAAGAAGTACTTCTGAGTCTATACCTGAAGGAAAAGAAAGTGCCAATGAGACTTGGAAGATATTCCATGATTTCAAATTCAAAATAGCTCAAGCTGTTGAAGATATGAAAACTAGATCAGTGGAAGGTAAATTGTTTATTATATTTTCTATGATTTATTTATTTTTTATCTCTAACTTATTAGTTGCCAATGTCTAGGGTTGTATGTGGCATTATTTATTTATCATAATTAAAGAATAATGGTGTTTTAGTACAGATTTTGTGCCTAAGAGACTAAAATACTTATTACTATTAAAATAATATATGCATGGCCAGTTTTATCCTAACTCTTTTATAATTATTCTCTGTGTAAATACTTTTCTTAAGTGGGATATTTAAAGATTACATTGTATTGTTTTGTTTATAATAGAAACAAAAGAGAAATCTCTACCTCGAGAGAGTTCGACTTCAGATTCTGAAGAAAACTCAGCAATTAAAGATACTGATCAGCATAGTATAGGAGACACAGATAACCAGGTGATAAAATATGTCTTTAATTATGTAAGAATTTTTACTAAAAACTTTTTAATTCAATCATAGTTACACCATCAATTATCTTGAAATAATTGATGGTGTAACTATTATTATAGTACTTGTCTACTCTATGTTAAAAAGAAATTATAATCTATACAGGTTTCCTCTCTTGACAGTAGCATACAAAATCTCTCTGAAATGACTCAACCTTTAACAGCAAAGGCTTCAGAGCGCGATTTAAGCCTTGCTAATAAAAATGCAACTGATTCAAGTGAAGATACACATAAAATACTAGGTAAGTAATAAGATAATTTTTAAAAAATATTTAAATTGTTTCATACAAAAATAAAAAATTTAGAAAGAAAAAAAATTTCAGGTCATAATGAAACTATAGAAGTTCCGAAAGATGATAATGTTGAAATAGAGTCAGGTGTGGAGGCATTAGAGGATACGATTGATGCATTTGGAGATGTAACACAGTTAGATTCAGAGTCACATGATAAACCCATTGAAATCACATCAGCCATCCCTCAACCTTTAGTCGCTCCTATGGACTTTAACTTTCCACCGAGCAAAAATGGCTTAAATAATAATAACGAAACAACCAGAACAAGAACAAACTTCTTCAATTGTACTATGTACTTTCTCACAATTTTCCTATTATTAAATTATATTTTGTTCCCGAATTCAAATGTTTGGATCGGTTTTCTATTAGGTCTTTGGGTTTTCTATTTTATAACATGTTTCAAGACATGGGTGTTAGATAATTATTTTAGTGAATGGGAACCCAAGAGGAGTTTTTATCAATTTAAACAGAGCAATGATGTGCCTGTTGCTTATACAATACCTGCAGTTAAAGAACATACACCTATGAAGAAATACGAGGTAAGTAATGTCCACATCAGGAAAGTCAGTCTAAATGGGCAACGGTGACTCAAGGGTTAAGAACTTGTCTTGCAATCTACAGGTCCTAAGTTCGAATCCTTCTATGTACCTATGTAATTTTCGATTTACATACGATGTACATTTTTCCGACGTTCGTACGGTAAAGGAAATCGTGATACAACCTGCACATATCTGAGAAGAACCGCACCGGGCCAGTGTGGTTAACTATAGCCTGGTCACCCCTGATTTAGAGTAGGCTCCGAGCCTACAGTACATGAATTCTAAATGTATTTTTAAGAATGTTTTTTTATAAGAATACAATGTGGAAGAATAAATATATACAATAGTAATTTAAAAACCTATAACTTACGCTTGTCTATATTACAATTTTATTTATTTTAGGGTTGGATAAACCATTACAGGTGTCCCGATTACGATCCGTATACATACCACATAAATAAAACAACTACTGCATTTATGAAATTGGAAGGTAAGTTTTTAATTTCCTTCCAAAATTTTGAAAAACTAAATTTAAATTTATGCAAAAAAAAATAAAGGAGTTACATTTTTTTAATCGTTTTTTGTTCTTTTAGGTTGTAATTTACGTTTATCCTATACAACGACGAAAATCGCCAAGAGGGCATTATGGGACGAAAAAATAGAGAATGTTGCATTTTATCAACACAGACTCTACAATTTAACAGGAGCTCGAATTATTTTGCTGCCAAAAGGTCTCGTTAGAAGAAGGTAAGTTTTCTATTTATTTATATGTATATTATTATTATATTCCTACAGGTATTTATTATTTTATATTGCGCAATGTATAGTCGCTCAAAACTATCGTGGTCATCTTCCTGTAAATTCCAGTCTTTTTGCAGATAACTAATTATTGTATAATTTAAATAAGATTTTATACAACATTTCGACAATAATTTTTTTCGAATTTTTGACGTTCAAAATGTTAAGCAACTTTAAAAAAAAATCCTTAAGACGTCAAACTTTAGGTAAGCAATGGCAGCCAAAAAATTTGTTCATAAACAAAAAAAAAGTAAAAAAGAATGACAAAGTTAGTAAACATTATTTTGTACGCTTCGACAGTAGTATTATTTAATAAAATTTACACAGTCGACTGTAAATTTAATAACGCAGGAATTATCCGCACCTCATACAAGGATTCTAATCTGTGACATGGCCGTTTGCTATTAAAATATCCTGGTAAAACGCATTTAAAGTAAAATCTACTTAAAACGTGTTTTATCAAAAACGTGAACACACCTGTTAATTACTAAAAATGACAACACTAATAAATTGTAATGCCTACAATTAATTCGTTACTCTAATCGGATAGCAACCTTTTTGATATGATAACATTATAAGGTTAATGACCTATTCTTGCGCCCAATTCTTTTGTTTTGAGCAGTTGTTTATTTTTAATTGGTTCGTACACGAACTACGAGCGACATTGAACGAGTTCTTTGTTTGCTGTTTATAAATTGACAGAATACCTGCGTAGTTGTAACGCATTTTCGTTGACCATTTGGGCGATGTGCCAAAGTGTCGTTTACCACGACAAATGCTCATAATATTTTATTTTATTAAACTATAATGGATGCCATTTGTCACACACAATGAATTTATTTATATAATCCTAAATAATTTGTTTTAAAATTGACGTATTATATTATAAAGTAAGTTACCTCCGCACACAGCTGCTACCTTCCAGTGAAAGGTCTGTCAAAATAGATCCAGCCGTTTCGTATTATAGATTACCCGGAACAAAAGCAGATTTGTAGATAGACATGCAGAAATGTTAAAAAATTGGATTTTCATTATAACCATCGTAAATACGTCGTGTGTACGAATTATGATATCTTTTATATTATAGATATATCAACCTTTTTTTTTTCAGAGGGGAATGCTTTAGGCATACTCCGTGCCTCGGGGAAGGCACGGTAGTTATGTGGTACGCCACGGGATCGTGTTAACTTACCACCGCGACGCCCCACTGATAGATATATAAACCTAACATACTTAATTATAGAATTCAAACGTAAACCCAAATGATACATTGTTATTTACATCAATAGCACCGACTACAAGTTCAAATTATCCTTACGAAACTCCGGTATTAAATAGCAGCTACCGGAAAGCGGAAATTTTGTAGTATTTATACAACTTATCTTTAGTGAGATAAGTTTTATAAGTGCTTGCTTTTGACGTGTTATTACATTGGTTTTCTGGGAAACATTTCTTCGTGCGTGTAAAATTGTAAACAAGGTGACAAAATATTGTCATTCCATTATAGTACCTATACAGGGACGGCTATTGATTCAACTAACTAGTTGAATAACCAGTTTAACTCCTTTCAGCGTTTCAACCGTTGAACGTTTTTCGTTCAACTGGTTATAATTCATCATAAGTTAACATAGGCGTCGCTTGTTTTTTGTCGCCAGAATTTCTGTCTCGTTAATCGAGTAGTTGAAAAATCAAAATAAACGTTTCTTTTCGTTGATAACAGAACCGTTAACGACCCATCTCTAGTATACATACGATACACAGTTGTTTTATTTTTAAAATATGGGTATATCGTCATATCAAAGTTAATGTCCGAGTTAACAAGTTGCTTGTTTTTTTCTTATTCAACTCGTTTTCTATATTGACGTCTTAGTAGTGATTTATTTGTACTTCAATGACACGAGCTGACCTTGGTCGTCACGCTCCGTTTCACTTAACTTATCATAATGTCGGTCTTCCGTTTGATTTTTAACGTAATATAATCCACTTTCACATATTAAAGATAATAAGATTATTCACCCAACACACACCATAGGCGATTATACGAATTAAAAAAAAAGAATCGAAATAAAACGAATATTCATGACAGTATAAAATTTAATTATGGTCATTGGGTGGGATTAAGTAAGCTACGATAATCCCACCGAATGACCACACTCTATGTATTGACATACGATCTAATTCTTAATCACCAACGAACCCTAAACAATGGTGTGCAACCTGAGGGAATTCGAACATACAATACCTAAAGGTTTTCAACTATTCAGTACTTAGTTAATGTTATAAACTTAATACTCAAAACTCGAAAAGTTTATGTGGACGCGGTTATGTCTTTCTAATCGTACTAATATTATAAATGCTAATGTTTAGATGGATGGATGGATGTTTCATTGGATCTCATAGAAATTTGGCATACATATAGAACATAGTCTGGAAGAACACATAGGCTACTTATTATGTTTTTTTTAATCCGATTGGACGGAGTCGTGGGCGACCGCTCGTAATTAAAAATTGTTGATTGTCACAGTTAAAGAAACTTCCTGCTCTATTCGGTGAAATTACATTTGATGCGTCAAATGTAATTAGTTCGAAAATTTGTTATGACGACATACATACGTGCTAAATGATAGCTCTTATGGTCACATATCCCCAGTGGGAAGCGAATTTAATTCTTTCACTGTAGTGAAAACATATATGTTTTATGTCTATTTTTGTCTAACTTGCGTTAACGTGACCTTAATTTCTTGTTTTGCATATAGGCAATGGAGCAAGAAATATCCCATCTGCATAATACTCAATGAGAAGGAAAAGATTCAAGTATTAGAAAAGGAAAATGGGTCGGTAGAAAAAAAACTTGCCGAATCAACAGAAAAGAAAACTAAAGAACAAATACCGGCACATGAGACAGAGAGTACGGAGACGAATACGAGTCCTGAAAAAAAGAAGAAATTTATATGGAGAAGACGGGAAAAGAGGTACGTGTAAAGATTTTTCTTTTATGGAACATCCTTTGTATAGATTTACTATGCCAAATCTACGCTAAGGCTTACCTTTAGTGACTAATTAAGGACTTTTAGTGCGTCGAATAAATATGGCATGATTCATATTTTTGTAAAATTTCTGGCATACATTTAACATATCCTTATCGCTATATTTTCAATATATTATTCTTGAAACCGTTTGTGCCCGCTTTCGTTTGTACAGAATTAAATCAAATATTTTTAATAATAAGCAAAGCCTATGTTACTCAATATTAATGTAACTTTCTAATTGCAAAAAGAAACTCAGTTCATTAGTTTTTGAGTTTATTCGTTACATACAAAAATACAAATATTTCGTCTTTTTTATATATATATATATTACACGTGTATTGATTAAGCTATTCTATGTTATATCGTTTTGAATTTGTTATGTTTGACATAGTATGAGTTGTTGATTAGATTTGGTTTGTGTAGATAATTTACATAAATATTATATCGTTTTATCGCTTTATAATTCGAAATAATTAAAGCATCGTTCATTCGTAAATACATTTTGTTACAATAGAAATACATAGGAGAGTCATAGCTCCAGTGTATCCATGGACATGCTCCATGGATTACTAGTAGTTGCCCGTTTTTTTTTATATCAAAAGGTCACAAACGAGCGAGCGGCAACCTGAAATCGCTGAAATAGCGAAGCGACCGTCGCCCATAGATATACGCAATTGCATATACGTTGCCTACCTTTAATTGACAGAGGAGGCGATGCACAGAAAGAATATATTTTCCCTTCGCATGTATCCACTCATCCGAAAAATCCACTGCCATTTCCCATTCTCTCCTTAAAAGAAAAAGGGTGGAAAGGGAAATTGGACTAAAATTATAGCTCCGGGACGCACACTCATCAGACACGGAATTGCTTCCACTTGACGCGTGTCTTCTGTGTGGTCGTGATATTTTGCCGGGCGAGCCGAGCCAATTTCTGCGGAAATATTAAAGCGGTCACTACCACTATTTAAATGTTCGGAGCCGTGACTCCGTCTCAGCATTCGCATTTATAATATTAGTTAGATTTTAAATTATTTCTTGTCTATGGGAAAATATAAATGAATATCAGTTACAACAAGTTTGAGCCTGATTCTTGGAACGAATTAATTATTAAATCAACATGTTAATGTGTGGTTTTTATGAATGTTTACCAGTGAACTTGTTTTTCAATTGTATAAATATTAACGATGTTTTTATGTTTTTCTTTCTTTATTATACAAAATAAGTGTTTGGAAAGAACTGGCGGCTATCGCCACCAGCTTTTAACATGCTTAAAAGTGCCATTGTTTGTGTCATTTGAAACTTTTTAGGCTAGACATACATGTCAGAGGCTTCAACATTTTTAATTAAATTCCAGGAATATTATATAATTACTAGTTATCGCCGGCGACTCCATCCGCGCGGAATAAAAAAACTATTGTTCGCAGCGTAATGTTATATATGCTTAAAGCCTTCCTCTATAAATGGACTATCCAACAAAAAAAGAATTTTTCAAAACAGATCAGTAGTTCATGAGATTAGCGCGTTTAAACAAACTCTTCCGCTTTATAATATTAGTATAGATTTATATCTAATTTTGTTCCAACAGACAGAATAAACGCGTATAAACATTAACTTGATATATTTCTCCCTTCACAGTAATTCGCAAAGCGAAAGTGAACCTGGAAAGGAAGGTTTGAGACATCGACTTGTAAGAAAAATACATCGAGGTAACTATTCATTTAAACATTCATTGTAGTCAAAACAACTTATTTTATTAATGTCTAGAAGTAATTTACTGATACAAAAACCTGACTTAATAACGTGTAGGAACTACATATTGTTAATTCTATACGTCTCGTTTGTTAGCGAGAAATATGTTAAAAAAATCGTAAATATTCTATCTAAAAGTTCTTAAAGATCAGTCATTTTAATTATGCAAATGCAAAGCGCGTTCGTATCAATGATATCGAAAATCTTTTTTTGTTTATTATGTATTTTTAGACATTATTAGTTAGGATGCTTTGGCGCGAATGTCGCGCTTTCATTACAACGTGAAGTATCAGAATGATTAGTGAGGGGACATAAACGTCGACACAGTACACCGGCACAGTGTCGGATTTCCTAACAGTATCCATAACAAAAAATTACTGTAAACGAATATTACATAACCAACATATCTTCGTTTAATACTGACGTAGGTCGCCCTTTAGTAATTTTTAATAGAACTTAACATATAAATCACATATACTTCAACTAGTCAAATCGCTTAAAATCAACCATCGAATTATTAAATATCAACAGACAAACGGTCAGACAGTTTGTCATCATCAGCGGACACAGACGTGCCGGTGACGAGCGACAAGTCGCCGCAGTCGGAGGAAGCACCGACTCCAGAGCCTGACCCCGACCTCGCCTCCAAGTCCGCCACCAGTACTAAAGATGATAACGATGATGAAATCGATGATAGCGAATTGTCGCGGATTAAAGAGTTCTTGGATGAAGCGGTAAGTATCAAGAATATTTAGTCATTCTACAAAATATCGTTATATGCTCTTTTATAAATATGTAAATAACTTTTGTCGCGATTCCGTCTTTGTGGAATTAAGAAAAAACTTAGTAGTCTATGTGTTCTTCTGGACAATATTCTGCATATATACAAAAATTACATCGAGATCCTATGAGTCGTTCCGGAGGTACCTTCTAACAAGCATCCATTTATCCATCAAAAAATGTTGGTTATATCCAAAATAATTGTTTATTACAAAACTTTGTAAATCCTGTCTGCTGTCTTTTATTATCGTATTCCATTGCTGAAAGAATCGTTTTGTGTCAGGAGTTGGAAGGCACCGGGGAGGGCGGGCCGGAAGGCGAGTGGAGCCTACACGTGAAGCAGTCGCGCGACAAACACGCCCATCTCTTTCTTTTTGCGCGCACCGGCCGCGACAAACACGAATGGTAATCATAAAAAATCGTTTGAAATTACTAATCTTAGGACTTAAAAAGCAGATTTTTTTACGTTTTTGAAATGCGCCTTAATTGTAGAGATAAAGTTCAAAACTCTCGATAGATCAACTACTATAAAAGAAACAAGCAATTTAACATGACAGGAACCTTTAAATTTTTTTTTTTAAATTATATGATAGGTACCGTCGTCTGAACGCCGCCATATCTGAAGCGAATGCGTCGAACGAATCATCTATAGTGGAAGAAAAGCTGGGGAATGACGCGCAGGAAACCAAAGACGGCATCGAGCTCGCTGTGTATAAGCTGACAGAAAAGGATACAATCGCATTTGGCAAGGTAAAGACAAAGTTTTAGTAGTGTTCCATTTGCCGATTAATTATGTTACAGTGTTAACTTCATATATTGTTATCTCTATATTGTTAAAGAGAATGAAAGAGATGCCATTATGTATTTATAGAACTGCTTCCTTTTAGTTAATTGTTTTATTTGTCGATCGATGTTGCAATTAAAATATTTGGTTATTACAGAACAAAACAAGTGAGGTGACATCAGAGGTGTTTCCACCATACCCGTCGCAGTCGGAGTCCTATGAGAAGACATTCTGGCCGTACCTATTTAAAATAATACAGGTATGTATTTTGATTATTTTTCAATATTTTACGAACAAATGAAAGTTATTAATTATCTGACATATAGTTTTAATTTTAATTAAAATTTAAGGAGCACTTACATTGTTCCACTTACATTTTTGTCTTTATTGTTTATAACATGCGACGAAAAAGTAAGATCTCTCAAGAGCACCTTCAAAGAAGTTACTCTTTATCGCAGGGGTTGTAATGTGGGATAAAAAATGCTCTGATGTCCGACATTTTTTTAATCTTACTTCGCCCACGTTAAGACCTTAATATCATTTGTATGGGTTTGTGCGTGTGTAGTCGCACCAAAGTAAACAGCGTCACACGAGCGAGGTGGGCGTGATGTGTCAGCTGGAGCCCTCGCCGCACGACCGCGCCAAGCCCAAGAAGAAGAAGAAAGGCAACGTTCGTTACCTCACATTCTCTTCACTGTACATTGTAGTCACTTATATTGGTAACATCGTATTGGTTTGAAATAGAATACAGATTTATAAGAAAAAAAAGTATTTATTATTTCCATTAAATTAAAAAAAAAATTTTTTTGACGCTGTGAATTGTGTTCTCATGATCTTATTTGAAGACAAACTTTAATACGTACTGTAGAACAACGTCTTTATGTCACTACATAACGTAGTTTGTTAAGTCATTGTAAGAAATTTATTTATTCCTAAGGTAATTTTTATTAGCTAAATGGAAAAATAGACAAATAGTTATTGAGTTATCTATGTGAATGTATATGAATATGCAAGTATCTTAGAGTTTCCAAATTGTTTATATATCTAGGGGTGGACTATTGCCCCTACCCCCCCCCCCCTATTGGCGACGCCCTTGACATTATTATAGTGTATATATGAAAAATAGGGTGTTTTTTCAGCCGCAGAGCTCTGTGGTGGAGTGCGAGTGCCGCACGCTGCCGGCGGAGGTGACGTGGGTGAACACGGTGCTGGCGCGGCTCATGTTCGACGTGATGCGTGACCCCGCCACCATCGCACGCTTACAGAACAGGATACAGAGGAAGCTTAACACGTTAAAGGTAAACACGTTAAAACGAAGGAAAAGATAATGGAGCAGAGACGAATATGTCTTTATATAAACCTTAAAATAATGGATTAATTATGTTCCCAATGCAATGAAAAATCAATGGAAGAAAAACTGCTTTTCTAACTATTTGTATTTTGTTTGATTGAAGTAGGATTAAATGAACCATAAACAAACAAAAACATTTTATTTTCTATGCAAAGAATAATGTAATCTGTTGTCTATAGTCATGGTAACAATTTCCGTGAAAATTTACTCAAAAAATAATAGTAAAGTAATTTTTTAATTTTTTTTAAGATAGTTCAAAAATTATTTATTACAAAAAAATAAAAAAAGGAAAACTAATATAAAAAAATCTCGAACGACGTAAAAAAAATTATTCCCTTAAAGAAAAATAAACATTGTGCAAATTACGAAATGTATTGTTACAACAGTTTGATGACGTCATAATACAAGTCAGTTTGTGTTGCCAGTTGCCGTCATTCATGAGTCCGCTGGTGGTGACGGAGCTGTCACTGTCGGGGGCGTGCCCGCTGGTGCGCGGCGTGTCTGCGCCCGCGTGGGACGAGCGCGGCGTGTGGCTCGACGCTGACGTGCGATATGACGGCGGAGCGCACATCTCTATACTTACACAGATCAATCTCATGAAACTTAAGGAGAAAAGTAAGATAAATTTATCTTCATAATCTTATGAATATTATAAATGCGAAAGTTTGGATGGATGGATATTTGTTTGTTAGAAATTATTTCCATAACGAATGCGTGGATCTCTATGAAATTTGGAACATATGTAGAACATATTTTTTTTTAATATCAGGACGGAGTTGTGGGCTACAGCTAGCCTATGTCACTCAGAGATAGATTTCCAAAAGTGAAATAATTTTTTAAAACTGCAGTAGCTTCGGAGCCTATGTAAACAGACCAATCTTTCTTCTTTATAACTTTAGTATAAACTAGCTGTCGTCCGCGACTCCGTCCGCGCGGGATTAAAAAAAGATGTTGGCCAATTCTCAGGCCTACTCAATATGTTCACAAAATTTCATGAGAATCGGTCAAGCCGTTTCGGAGGAGTATGGGAACGAAAATTGTGACACGAGAATTTTATATATAAGATAAATCATATATAGCTCCCCCTGGTAGTCAAATCATGAATACTCTGTGCCGCTAGATGGCGCTATTATTAAAGCTTAGATAATAGCGTGTGAAAAATTATTATTACATTATTTATGCCAAATTGGCTGCCTAGCTTTTATATGTTATATATATTCACATCATATATTCGTTTATTACACAGATGTTACTCTGGAAGACCAATTGATGGCGACCACAGAAAACGTTGAAGAAACTGACGTAAATTGTCCCACGACCACTGGCGCAGAGAAACAGTTGAGAGTAAGTACAATACTTTTAATATCGCATTGTCCTCCATAAACAAAGTATAGTCTATGGATTTATTTTGTCTGTTGTTAATAAATCTAATTGCAGTCTTATTAAGGGAAAATTGTTTAAATAGCTTTGCAATAATTTCTTATTTCCATTGAATTCCACTATAAATAATAAATCTTTTTTCTACCTAATATTACAAACTAGCAGTCGCCCGCGACTCTGTCTGCGTGGATATATAAAAAACTTAATTAGTGTAGATCCATTCAGCCGTTGTAGAGATATCTTCAAACACCCATCCAAATACAAATTAAGTTTTTTTTAATAATATCTAATTGCATATAATTTGTAGAAACGCAAGCCGGCTATATATGACAGTGACATAGAAGACTCCGCGGAATCGAGCAGTGATGATGACAGTCCGCTGGTGCAGCCTGTAGACAGCGGCGAGAACGTCGTCATATCTGACTCCTCGTAAGTTTACTGCTGGTACACACTGCACATACATTCACATAACAACTTTATAAGTCACACTATATGACATCATGTACAATTGTATTCTAGTATAGTATTTTTCAAATATCTTACCGGCTCAACATCTCTCGTGTGAAGTTTCGAGCCAATAAGATATGTGAAATTTACTATAAAAACTGGCTTTTGAGGGAGTCAATTGTTAATTTTTTGTATTTTATTTTCAGATCAACAATGACAGAAGGAGGATCATCAAAGAAGAAGTTCCTTCGAATGGTCGACAGGATTGCAACTAATAAATATTTTCAACAGGTACTATATAAAATATTTTACTTTACTCTACCATATTTATTACTACGGATATTGATGATTGCTATAATCTTACTTAATTATAAATGCGAGTGGTTAGTTGGATGTATGGATGTTTTGAGGTATCTCCGGAACAGCTTAATAGATCTCGCTAAAATTGGCATAGTTGCCGAACATGCTCTGGAAGAACACATAGATGACTTATTTTTCTTTTTTTTTAATCCGGCTGGATGGAGTCGTGGGAGTCTTACTATAAATGCGACAGTCTAAATGGTTGAATGATTGTTTGTTTCAAGGTATCTCCAGAACGGTTTAGCGAATTAAATTTGGCATACTTATAGAACTTAGTTTGAAAGAAAACATGGGCTACCTACTAGGTTTTTTTTTATTTTCTTGTGGATGGTATTGCGGGCGACAAGTAGTAATATATATTGTAACGAGAAAATCGTATTAGAGAGAAACCTCTATAGGCAAGACAAATATCACAGTCCCTTGGGTTTTTAATCTTACTTAAGTTGTATGTGTTGTAGGTGACTGACTACAAGTACGTGAAGCGCGCGATGGAGGGCCTCTCCAACACGGACATCAAGCTGCAGCTGGAGGTGCACGGCCTGGAAGGACGCCTCGCCCTCAACCTGCCCTCTCCGCCACATGACAGGATATGGATAGGGTGAGCCATCATAATACTACAGCCTTCTGCACTGCTGAGTCATCAAAATTGTATTTGATATTTTTGTATTGATAAAAATAAATATGTATCAAATCTAACCATTCTGTGCTTATCCAGAACTATGACGTCATAATATGACGCTATTTTATGCACTTTTATATTTTTAAAGCATTGTATCTATTATATCTATTTAAATAAATAAACATCAATGTATGTTTGTCCTCTATTTACTAATAAAGTAATAAAGCGTAATGAAATTTTTTACTTAACTAGAGTCTATATAGTCCTATTGACGTATCATGACCTTTTTTAATGTAAAATATTCACTGACCACTATATTGGATAGGCTATGTGAAATGGTTTTCTGTGCCTATTTGATTTTTCATATTTCGGATCTAGCTTTTAGTGTTCAAAAATTCAACTAATTATAGAAATAGAAATGATGCGAGACTATCTAGCATGTATCAATAAAGATTCGATATAATTTTAGTTTTTTACTTTTGCAGTTTCCGCACGAATCCGCAACTAGTGCTGCGCGCGCGACCCGCAGTGGGCGCTCGTGCGCTGCGCTTCGCTCACATCTCCAACTGGATAGAGCAGAAGTTGACCAGAGAGTTCGAGAAAGTTCTAGTGCTGCCCAACATGGAGGACATACTGATAGACCTCATGACACCCACGCCCGTCAGCTTTGAGTGAACTTCTGTAAGTTAATCCAAATTATTATAATGATGTGATTATCTTTTGACTTGTTAATTATTTATACTAAAATGCGATCGTCGAACTATCTTGTTTTTTTTTCGATTTATATTCTCAAATGTAAAGAAAATAGTAATCTAAAATCTATAAATGGACTGGCTATAAGTCGTTGTATTCTGTGCCTATTTCATTATCGCCATGTTGGCTTAACGGGCACGTTTAAATCGGAACTAAGCCGTAATTCCAAAGCCATCGCCTTCGATCCATTTATATAGTTTTCATACATTTTTTTTAATATTGCTCACTTTAGTATGTGAAAATAGTTTTGGCATTAAACGTGATATGGAATTAATAAGTCAAGAAATAATCACACTTATTATGCAAAGTATATGGGCCAAAATATTGTATCTCGATTTTTCAGGTAATATTCCCTAATTATTGTCAAATGTTAATAAAATTGTTCTTCGTCAAAAAGTAAAAAAAAAAGTATAAAGACAAAGTATGGAAAGTTAACTTGTTAAGGCAAAGGAAATATCATTCTGCCACCACAGATAAATATTTAAAATAAAAAAATGTAAAGTTTTTTTTATTCCATTGCTACTATTTTTTGTAGACGCACATTCAATCCATTAAAATAATGGCGTCAAATTTTTAAAATATTTTTTTTTAATTTATCATCACAATTTTTTTATTTATTTTTTATCATTGCATTAAATTCCAAAGTATCGATAACAGAATTTATTGAATTATTCTATATGAAAATTTACCAAGTTCCTTTGTATTTAGTCAAGGATTTCTCGAAGTTACTGAATAAAAATTAATAGTGAGTTTGCATTTAATTGTACTATCAAGTTACTATTTTAGTTATAGACATTATAAAAATAGATAAAAGATATTTTTAATATAGTTGACCGTTTTCGTAAGTTTTTTTTTTAATGATTATTGAATTAAAAATCGATTCGAAAACCGTTTCTAATCGATTTTCTTGTGAAATCGAGTTTGTCTTTATATGTGTAAAATAAGTACCATGTTCAAATACATATTAGGCATTTGAGCGTATAAATAAGTTAAAGACTGTCGCTACGGTTAGCAAAAAAAGTCGGTAAATAAAAATATATAGGTGTTTGTATATAAAAAAATATTCCACAAATATTATATTTATTAAATTTTTCTTTTTTTTGTTTATTAAAAAAAACTTCGGAGAATGTATTAGAAATATTTATTGGTATATAAAATAGGTTACATTAGTTAGGTATTTAGATGAAAGGTATTATTTTTGTTTTAGTTTTGTTTAAGTTTATTATTTTATTATTTAAACATCGTCTTATATTTAATTTTTTTTTATTTAAAAGTAATTTTACTATTCAAAAAAATGTTAAAGTATATTTATATTTGCTAAGGTAAATATGTGTGAAGTATGGTTCAATTTTATTCCTACGATATGTGTTTTATTCGCACAATTTTATCATCAATTTATTTCACTGCCGAGAATTTAATTTTGAAAAAATTACAATAATACTGAGAAAAAAAAATCATAGTTTCCGTGCTAAAATATGAAAAAAAAATTGTACTTCCTTTACTTCATAATTTTATATTCCTTTTATGTTTAGTTTAAATATAGAACACGTAAAATTGTATATAATAATTTTTATTCATTCCTTATTTCGAGTATTTTATTCCAAATTAACCTTCATTTTTCTAGTATTTGGTGTTTTTCTGCCGAAGCACTTGTAAACATATTGTCTCTTTTTATCTGTAGAAATGGAGAGGGATAACAATATTTTTTTTCACTCACCTCTATACATAGATAGGCTATAACCGTAGTAACTTTGTGCCTGTTTGATTTTGATTGGTGTTTGGAAACTCGAACTAATAAAGAAGATTAACTGTCACTAACACCACAGGAAATGTCGGAAGTGAGCAAAAGCTGATATTTCAATGACCTATCCTTTTATAGAGATTTTTTTGTATCGTTTCAGCAATAGAAACCTAATTTCTCACAAAATATGAGCTTTCTCTCGTCTTTTCTCGTTAATGTAACAAACCCTTCGACAATAAATCCATTATATATGCTGTTATAAAATTCCAATATTTATTAAAATAAAATACATTTTTATTGTATAAAAATTAAAAAAAAATCTAAAATATGTCTAGAAGTAGAGTTTTATTGTTGGAATTTAAAGATTTATATAACATTCTTTTTAACTAGGATCAGTAAAATAGTTTTTTCCTTTTTTCAAAAACTAGAAAGTAAATATTTTTTTTTATTACAACATAGAAGCGAGTTTTTTGCAATCACCTGTTAAATGGTTTTGAAATTATTTCTTATTTCTTACATTAATATTATAAACTTGATTAAAAGGCTTATTTGATATTTTTCTATTTACTTGGGTTTGATGAATTAGAAAAAAAAATATTTTTTATAAATTTAAAAGATTAAGGTGAAATGATTTTTATAAGGCTGATTGTAACTTGCTCATCCTTTTAATTAGGAGAAATGCAACGAGGAAAAACATTTGCAGATTTTAATTTTTTTTTCTAATGTCAGCCATTTTAAGTCACCTATGGACTATTTATAAATTAATAATTCTGTAATAAAGCAAATTTGCACTTTTCTTATGAAGTCGACAAGATGGGCTATATTTATTATTTGTATTACTTTTATATTGTTACTCACAGATATATTTTACAAAAATTGATGGTCTCTGAGCATATTCAGATGTTCTGTCCACCCCAATTGTTGAAAGCAGTTTTGTATAATTTTATGCCAAATTATTCGACTGAAATATTTTTTGCAAATTGAAATTTTATCCTCGTAATATATTGAAATGCAGAAAACTCGAGGTAATCCAACTATCTATTTGCGCATTGTCGAAATTGAATACTACCAAAGACAATATTTCTGGATTTTATTACAAAAGAACTAAAAGAAAAAAGTCAACACCACTGTTGTAAAGCTTACAAAAAAATAGTTACATTGGGATATATTTGTTATCAAACAAATGCATATAAAAGTAATAAAAAACTAGCCATTGAAATTATAATTATGAATCATTTGACGGAATGACGAAATTAGATTATAAAGACGAATTAGACAAAGAAGCGCTGGATAAAACAAGGGCCGGATTACCGCGGGTCTAATTTTAACTGAAATATTATTTTGTAAGCTATTTTCTGTTTATGAACCTGAAGTAAATTATGTTTAGTAGAAGTATTTTAAAGCATTACTTGTCTACATATCATATTACGTGTACCTGTTTTCGAAACAAATATTTTGGTATATAAAATTTATTTTTCAGAAAAACATGTGACAATCTAAAGAATTATATTTAAGTATGGAATGTAAATCATTACTATACGTCCACAATAACATGACATTGAAGACCGGTAACGTAATAACGAAGAAAAGTTAACGTCAAATGCATTTCATGTTATTTTGCACGCATAGTAGTTAATTGTGGAATGAAAAAATGCTTTTCATTATGTTTTATTTCCATTAATTGTTTATAAGAATCTTTTAGTACTCAAAGCCTAAAGGCCGATACTTAAAGGTGATGTCAAACCACGAAAATATATTATTTATATGTTTAATTTTCAATTGTAAATATATCTTTATGTGTATGTTTTAGTTGCTCATGATATTGTTATATTTATATTTTATTTATTTAAAGGAAACTTTTTGGTTCTTTTTTGTTATATTTGTCGCAAGCGACGTTTTCAAACTGTACCAAAATATTAATTTATATAAATAAATTGTCTTTGTATATAATCTATCAAATTATAAAAGTGTTTATGTGATATTATATAGTTAAGAGTTAAACCGTGCCGAGTAGATTTTCTATGTGGTATCAGTTGTGATTTTTTCAATAAATAAAATGCTATATTGTATGTCTCTTTTATTTCATAATACATGCCATTTTTTTTACCATCTCTGACTTTTTAAGATTTCGCCGCATACGCTGAAATGCGGGTTTAGACAAATTCCATTCGCTTTAAAGCGATTCGATAGCGAACTTCGCAATTGTATAGAACAGACGCGCGACAATCACGTGACTTATCGAAAGTTATTGTCAATTTTATACATTTTTGAAGTTCGTAATAGAAACGCTTCGTGCCGAATGCTCATTGTCTAACGCCGCTGGCTGCTTTTGTCAAACTTGTCTTTAATTTTTTGTTATAAATCTGTGTTGCGTGTATTTTTTTCTCTTATATCTGCGTTGTAATAAGTGTTTCTTTCTTTTGTATCAGTTAATAAAAAAAATGCATATTTCCTGACGTAAGTTCTTACTAGTAAAGTACTAAAGGGTGTTTTTTTTCCGTTGATACGATGGGAAAAATCTCATGTTTTTTCGTACGAGTGTTTCCCGTTGGATTATTGGTAGACTCGTACAAAAACATGTCATCCCTCTTACTCTGCGGAGCCAATGGTTTGAAACAAAAACGTAAATAAATTTTGAAATAATTTTATTCAAACATCTTGTTCGATTTAATACAATTTTTTTTTATTCCATCTAAATATATTTTTCAAAAGTTTCTATACAATAGGTATTTAGTTATAAATTATAATCGTTGTATTCTATATCACATACCAACATTTATAATAAAATATTTTGTACAAATATATTAATGTTATTGATAAAAATATATCCACAGATTATATTTATAAAGTATATAAAGATTACATTGAACACGTAAACGCTATATAATAAAAATATTTATTTAACATTAGTATTTTTATGAGAAGCATATAAGTAGGTATATAATTTGTATTGGAAGCACTACAATGGAAAGTTATTTTTTCTATTTCATATTTACTTCGCACCATATTTTTATTTATTTACAATAATTCAAATTACTGAGCATGCATATGTATTATACCTATGTATTTACAATAATACATATTTAAATATGCAAAGAAAGTTATGAAACAATTCCTAAAATACTATTCAATATACCTATAAAATATTCTGATCTTATTTTTATATTTACAATGTTGAGATCAACTTTATGTTTACAAGATCTTAATTATTTTGGCACTCTGGACCACAAGCTCAATAAAATATGAGCGATTTATTAAATATATCTATAATTTTATATAAAATACTATATTTTATATACAAGATATGGCAAGTATACGATAGAGATTTTTTTGTGATGTGTAAAATCAGATTACAAGATCTGATAATATACATTTCTAATCACAGTTAATATAGATTGTAAAATATAGGAAATTATTTACATATTTTACTTAAATTTATAAATAATTCAATATCATTCTCTAGATTAAGAATTGTACTGAATTATTGTTGCGAATTTAGACGGCAGCGATACATGTATACATATTGTTATCTCTGTTTGGTCAAAGAGAATGCAAGAGATGTCAATATGTATAATTCAAGTGTCAATAATTGGAGTCCCAGGCAGAATGTAGTCATTAGTTCAACAAAGATCTATGCCGGTGAGAGAGGCGCCACTGTCGCGCTTATTTGTGACAGAATATATATAAAACCTACTTAAACAAAAAAAAATAACATGACAACTACAGTATAAAGAGAACTTGTAACGTTATTGACGTTGACAGGTTGGCGCTAGTGAGCCGTCATAATTAAGTTTGACTTATGTCCACCTGTTGAGATAGCCTTGTCGTTATAACTTCTAATACAGACAAAGCCAGAGTAAACTAGCACTAAGTTATTACAGTATACCAATATAAAAGATTTAATACAATGACTATGTTAAAAATAACTACGTTAGTTAAAGATTGGCATTAAAAAATTAAGGATTTTCTACTGTGAAAATTAATTACATAATGGAACTACGTTCAACATAAATACAATATGGATTTTAATATATTTTTTTTGAAGATTCATGACATTTTTACTTAAAATAAAAAAGATTTGTTATGTTTGAACTTTACCACAAATGCAGCTCAATATGACGTCAGCGTCAGTTTTGACGTCAGATTAGCTTACGTTGCACAGGACACGCGTCAAGTACTACGTCAATTTGTAGCTATGACGTGATGAGAGCGTTGCAGCAATCGTCAGAAAAGTCTACATGTGGCTTGAAGTACTCGAGTACTTATAAGTTGCTTAGTATTACGCACATTTGTGACGTCATATAGCAAGTTGGTGTTCGCGTCGCTATGAGTGGAGAGTGCAATGTGCGTCGCTGGCGTTTCTGCGGAGCTCCACAAGGCGGCGCCAGTGCTGCAGTCGCGGCGCGCACACTAGCGACAGTCGGCCGAGGCGGCGGCGCGCCATTGCAACAAACTCTCCGCCGCCCGCGGACGCTCCACAGCCTGACCACACGTGCACGTGCGCGTGCAGCGCTTCTTGAGACTTCTCTGACTGCGACAATGTATTGTCACCTTCGTACCTGAAACAAGGGATAATTGAAGTAAAGTACAATCAATACTGAAGCTATTTTAGAAGCCTTTTAATAAAATGTTTACAATAATTTGATAGTACTTAATGGTATAATAGATATGTAATAGAAATACGTATGATGAGATACCAATAAAATAACAATTCAAATTAGAAATCAAAATACGCAGTCCGATAAAATTTCCATCCATCCTTAATTTTCCAAAAACACACTTAGATCCTCTGGTTAGCAAACCGCAATCAAAATCAAGTGCTACGATCTAACAGTTATCTCCTTACTGTAGTATACATACCTATAGTATTCGTCTTGTGTGAGATCGGTAGCGTGCAGTGTGTGGGATGCGGCGGGGTCAGCGGGCGCGGAGGCGCGCAGAAGCCGCGTCAGACGCATCGTCAGTTGAGTGGTATCCAGATCCTCACGCTGCTCGCTGCCTACTATCATCACTCGCGACACTAAAAAATAAAACAAATTATTATAATAAAGACAAGGAGAAACGACATGCTGTATTTAATTTGAAGTGAAGAAAATTTCCCATCGAAAATGACAAGCTGAGATCGAGGTTTGCTTTTTCACAAGTACTTAATTCCAGCTCTATTTAATGGATTTATTCGTAACTAGAGCTTAGAGTTGATTGAACACGTCTTAAAGTTGCCGCCTAAACTGGTTGCGAAGTAAAAATGATTGTAACCGTCTGTGACTATAAGAGATAACGTTTTGTTAGAAGTATTAATCACTGTCGCCATTGTGCGGCGTGGCGCGCAATCGGCTTTTTGTCTGAGCCATGAGTAAGCGCAAAATGAACTATTTTTTCTATCGAACTTTTGTTTGAAACAGATAAGTGAATAGTTGCCTCGCCACAGTCTTCTGTACTCTATACAAAATCGCTTAATTATAGAGATTTTAACTAACGACTTATCTGATTTAAATGTCTGTCCGAGAAAGTGGCTGGCATTGTTAGAAATTTTAACTTTTATTGAAATATTTTTTTCATTCATCGCTGTTTGCAAAGTGCTCTGAAGTAGAAACTATTTAGGTAATATTACGACAAAAAAAAATCCGAAGAAACATCTTAACTTATAGATTAGCACAGATTTACATTCCATAATTTAGGTTTTAATAAAAACAGTAGCTATTTCAAGCGTTAATTTGTAAAATGTAAGTAAATATAATCTGTATGAAGTAATAAAAATTATGTTTAATTTAATGACATTCGAAAATTTGAAAGCAGCACTGATGGCGGGCAAAATGGCCGCCCACTGCCCCGCGGGGCGCGTGTCTATGACATAACTGGCGTCCATTATAATTTATCAAACGAGTACAAAAAACATTGTAGACCCACTCCCTGCCGCGCGTGCCTACGTACTAGTCTGGCCGGTACTAGTTTGCTTGTTATGGACGTTAATAGAATCTAAGTAGCGATCGTCACATCCTATTGCATAGTCAACAGCTTCCGTAAATCAAGACTTGCAGAGCGTTGTTATCTCATACGACTAATCATGTTCTTAGAATTGCACTCCGCATTACGTCTCAAATGAATGTTGTCGCTTAAACATACCGACTTCTAGTTTTTTGAGAATTAAAAGGAATAAAAGTATGAACGTTGATGAGTAAGAAATGTGTCGCGCTTTTTATATTTGCCGATTTTTTTGAAGTACGAAGAAGAGTTACTGTGGGAAAACGTATTCAAGATTTACTCAAAACATCGCTATTTCCAAAAACTTTTTGAAACTTGCGTATTAAGTCATGATTCTAAACCTGTAAAATTTGATGACCATTCAGTCAGATTTATTGCTATCCCTATGTCTATGTGGCGTGAAAATCTTTTTCTAGTTTCCCAATACCTCAAGCACGAAAATAAAAGTTTCGTAAACTTGAAGCACGGAAAGTTTCTCATGCCCTTTTCGTTAAAAGGTTTGTGTAATCAGCCAATAGATATCAGATATGTTTCCAAAGCATAACTTACCTAGATCGCTTGTACAGAAGGCCAGCTCGAGTTCAGAGTCAGAGCATGGTCTGCAGTCAGCTGTCGCCGGGTCATAGTGTTGCGTGCTCAGTGGCCTGGCTTCGTACTTAAAGGTGGCGACCCTCCGTCGGGCGTCGGTCTCGGGCTCCGCCTCTACGTATAGGGCTGCGCGACCGCGACGGCTGCGCACGCATCGCACCTCTCGCGGGTCCCCGTCGTCAGGCGCGTACAGTGGCACTAGCTTCCGAGCACCTTCCAAGAAGATGCGGGCGGGAAATCTTTCGCCTGGTTCTAGAAAAGTATAACTTTTATTGCTTCTGTCTGATCTACAAAAATAAGCGCGCTCTCGATGTCCGTGGATTACAGATAATTAAGTACCACAGTGTCCTTGCAATTTGTCTCGTAGCATTTGCTCACGTGGGCATTATTTCATAGAAAACCATATAGTTGTAGTGATCATTCAATTCAATATTTTTTAATTCTACCCGCTTATCTTTCTAGGTATATAGAACATCAACAAATACTAACCAGTATCATTGAACTGCAGATCAGTAAAGAACTCCGGCGGGTCTGGTCGTCGGATGACGCGTATGCAGAGGTTGAAATCTTTGTCCGGTGCAGGCAGTGGCGGCCGGAGAGACAGCCGTAGTGCGCCACGCGGGTACAGCCATGAAACGCTGCCCGCGCGGCACCGCAGGTACACCGGCGTCACCGCGCGTTCGCTGCGACCCCCCGACACTGACAGCCCGCTGTACAACATAACACAACATTAATTACACATTCACATTAAAGTAACCACATCATATAGACCAAATATTTGTTATTACAGAAATGGCGTGACTATCGATAATGTTTACATATTACCTAACACGTAACGTAGATAATAGATTAAACTAACTTTTTACTAATGATTTAGAAGTAAGTAAGCAGAGTTGAATATCAAAAGTTTTTGCAACATCAATAACAAAATAAAATCTCTAAATAGAGACTTTGACCGTCAATTTTCGTTATAAGACAGCGTCTCCTCGTACACTTATTAAATTTGTCTCCCAGAGACTACTAACTCGGTGATATCATCAATTAAACTGAATAGCATAGATTAAGGAACGACCTCGAAATCTCTGTTCATATGACAAATGTTCATAAAGTACAATAAATTTTTACAAAAAAGAAATTTTCTTATTACGATTTATCAAATCGGTGAAACATAAGTAAATTAAAGTCTACATATGAGCGTAAATTAATTTAATATGCACTGAAGTCCCCTTAACATGGCGGTAGCTGTAAAAGGCCTAATGATATTGGAATCCTTGCCATCGATTTTATATACGACCCTTGCGATTGCGGACTGTGGTAAGTTGTTCTTATCATATATGGAGTGTCTGATAGGATGACCATGTTTACTTTAATTAGTAAAAACTAAGTTCAACAAACGAGATGTCGAAAACTACCTAAATGTTTGTCGTTAAAATGCTTTAATTTAATTTGACTACAGATTTTACACTTTCAATATTTTTGGTTATATAACAAAGAGTTCAAATCCTCCTTGAATACATATTACTCTTTATCTTAAAACTAAGACAATAATATTTCCATTGTGGTTCAAACACGCCCAAGAAACTCTATTACCTACTGCTATTCAGTTGAAAGTCATTCTTTATTTTATAGGTTGGTAATTACGTCGCCTCTAGTTTATGTTAAATAAACGTGGCACGTGGCGTGGGCATTGGGATAGTTGACCCACGCCCACGGCCGGCCCACGGTCACTCGCTCGCGTAAAATATACGAGCGAAGCGGTGCACGACGCCTTTACGTTGCCTTCGTGCGACAAAAAACAAGACAAAGCTTTTATCTAGGTTATTGTGGGCCGCTTGTTCTCTGTCGCGGTAACAATTTTCACTTATAGATTTTATCTTATACATGAGTCGAAAGTTGATAACAATTCAATTACTTTTTATTTTTAATAAAGTTAACATAAAAGGTGGACTAAAAAGTTTTCAGTCTTCTACACTTTTCATCTGCATAAAGTTTTTATATTCATTGGAATTTATTCTTAGTGTAACTATAACTTGCATTATAATAAATCATACAGATTAAAAATGGTAACTAAAAATAGAATAATATAATGACTCAAATACATTTAAGAAGCGAGCTCATCGATCAGGTTTATTTTTAGCTTTATAGTAATTTAATTTGACAAGTCACATCCTTAATACTTTCACGTCATCGAGGGGTCCGTCTAATCCACCCTAATGGGTGCACGTTGAAATATGCATCTTGTAAAATATAAATCAGTACAAGTGTTCCACCGTATTGGGTGCAGTCACACGTGGTTCATACCCTTACTTAGGGGTGAACAACCTAACCTAAGGACTATTACGGGTTAGACTAGCCGGGATTGCGATCATTACGCCCTGACTATATACATGTTTGGTCCGAAGATTCTACGCGACTAGCAAGGCTTGTTTTTAATAAGGCCATATATGTAAGAAAAGAAATCAACTAATACTATTATGAGCTAACTACCAGTCTCACTTAACAGGTTATGTAATCTATGATGCAAAGAGTATTCAACTTTGATACCGGCTGATAATAATACTTTGTACCCTTTAAAAAAAAAAGAAATTTTCCAATTTTAAATATGGAATGCTCGTTTACGTTACCTCGCAGCCCTGAGCTTTGCCGCGCTTTTTCATTATCGGCGCACGCTAAAACAACATACACAAAAACAATATCTATAAAAACCGCTAACTTTCTGTTTTCAAACATGGGCGCAAAAAATTGTGGTGGGGTGTTAACTGGGGTTTGTTCCGCGTTCTCGGTTTATAAAATTTAACCAGCGTTATAATAATTTTACTTCGGCGAATGGCTTAGCTGTGCTTTTTAGGTTAAAATGATTAAAAATTCAAATACATAGTTAATTCTTAAAGATTTGTTCATATGATGATGTTTAAAACACGTGTACCTTATCAAAATACCAACGCGTGACAAACAATAAGTCGTGTTGGATAAAAAAGCGGACAAAATGGAGAGGCAATCTCGCGCCATTACCAGCAAATGACAGAGGCGCCGGGTTCCTAAAAGCCACTAATGCAGCGCCCCTGCCGTCCCCCGCAGCGCCCTTCGTTGCCGCGAACGTCACAGATAAATAACATCACGTTCCACAATAACCGAATACATTTTGTTACGGAACCAATACTGAAAAAATAACGAGAACTTATGTATGAGGCAATATTAAAAAAGTTAAAAAATAATGTTTCAAAAGTCTACTATACTGTAATTAATAGACAAATGACAATGACCATAGACCAATTTAGGTTTAATTATTGCTAATTAGTAAAGATTAGTATACTCAGTAACTAATAAATTCTTTGCCTTAATACGGTAAAATGTTTTGACCAATAAGGTAACAAAGTATGTTATTGGTGACCATAACTAGAATAATTAAAATCAATGTTTAATGTGATTTGTAATGAAATATAATCAATTTAATCTTTTGAATTTTGTAAAACATTACTTTAAAAAAAAAACTAAGTGCGTATGCCGGCTAAGGGTGTCACTAATATGCATGTAGATATTGATGTTTAACCGTATTTTTATAAGGTTGTTCAAGTATCGCAAATGGTATGATGGTTTCAAAGACCCGAGATCCTTCCTCATACAATATGATAATCATTTCCTGACTGATTTGTAGCGACATCTAGTTATAGCATTCGAATCTCCTTATCCGTTGAATCTAGTCAGATTATAAAAAGCTAAGATGCAGCGTGATGGCACGCGAACACAATAAATGGTACGTCTACAAAGTTTTATAGAAAAACTATATTATCGTGTTTTTTATTGTTTTTTTTTTTAACTAGTAACAAAAGGCAGAAGCAAAAGCAATCTGCTCTATCTTGACCATAGGCTAAATACTCTTTTTGTTTGTAAGTGAACTCATTTTAACTTCAGCCTGTCGATAACAAAGTTTTTTCGATAATAAGTCGATAAACAGTAATCCTATATCACATTAAGGTTTTTGTAAACGATAGAAAATGAATTATTATGTGCATATGTAATGATGAATAAGGAAAGAACCTCATTAATTGCTCATCACTTTCCATAAGTAAAGAAAGTCTTTGAAGGCAGTTGACCATCTTTGCTTGCAGTGTAGATATCTCGCAGGTAATTTGTTCCGTATATCATTATACTTATAGGAAAGTATTTAAATAAGTTACTTCCAACATTTAAGTTCTAAATTTAACATGGATGATAAAATTATTCAAATCACATTTGTTTATAATCTATATTAGCAAGGATAGCAAAGAATATATTGAGCGAAGGCGTTTTAAATTGAGTAACATCGATTTTAACTTTACAACACGCGTTTACAGCTGCTCATTAAACTGACCGATCCAACAACAAAGCTCTCTTGTTATTTTACAACCAGAATTCGTTATAACAATCGTATAAAATAAAACTTTTAGCATGGCTGTGTTAAGTCGAGATTTATTCGTGGAAAACACGAATCGTTCAATCTTCGACACATCGCCGTCGATGGCATCCCGCCTGTTATGTTAATTAACGCATTCTCGATAGTCTTTTGTTTCAATAAAAAAAATATAATATTCGAATCATCTTGCTTTCAGTTAATTTAAATGTTCTTCCTTAAACGTATAAAACTTTTACGAAGCCGTATTGTATCGTATTATTTTAAATGACTCAAGCTTTAAACGTCAATTGCAAGACCTAAATGAGTTTCTATCGTTGTATTTTAGTAGTGTAGTTGTAGGTACAGTAACTTTCGCAATAGGGCGCTGCCTTTTTCTCTGGAAGCAATATACACGATGTTCTTAAAATTTTGAATATAAAAGATTAATAGTTTATAAAGCAAACTATTGACAATAAATTGAATGAGATATCGATAAGAATACGATAATTAGCAATATTTAAATATTCATAATGTACCATGATGCGCTAACGAGCTGAACTGTTACACTCATAAATATTTGTCTATGGAAAGAAAGTTAGTTAGCGCATGGCAAGAGTCATAAAGCTTTATCTCAGCCCCTCAACAGTCGCGACACAATAATAAAAATAAATAAATGCGTCTCTTTTCTACGAAGACTTTTATTTATTCTCGCCCAAACCTGGCGCGAGATAACAATGATGCGTACGTTCAACCTTTATACCTCGTAGGGTTGGGTCATGCCTTTATGGTACGTTTATTGCAATCATAAACTGTTTTAAATTTATATTTGCTTACACAGGTGTTAATAAAATTGAATATCGAATTATATTCATATAACAATATTAATAGATATATAATAAAACTTAATTGATATAACAAAGCTTTAATAACTGTTATGAATACTTTGATGAATTAAATATAAAACCTGTTTGATGATAAAATGCTAATCGAAGTTTTGACATTGACAAGATTGGCTGAATAGTTTTTTTTTTAATTTAGGCGGCAAAGAGCAGCCCTATCGTTGCCACGCGCGCCGCAACCGCGCCTGCCCACGCGCCGCCACTGCGGTATTACCATACTCGATATGATCGCGGACCTTACTTCTGGCCATTGTAACGGCTTTAAACAAGGCCTGGCTATCATAATGCATCGCAACTTAACATGTACTGATACAGCTTTTAGTTTAGTGATAAAAGACGTGATAAGAGTCGATTAGGTGCTAAATATTTGTTGTCCTAGAGTATCTTTCTTTATGTATTTGTCATTATAACCTTCTTTTGTACTGTTCTTAAAACTAAA